CCCAAGCACTTGGGCCATCCTCCACTGCACCCCCTGGCCACAGCAGAGAGCTGTGGAAGAAGAGCGACCGGGACAGAATCCGGCACCCCGACTGGGACTAGAACCCGGTGTGCCGGCGCCATAAGGCGGAGGATTAGCCTAGTGAGCCGCGGCGCCGGCCACTCCTTGTTATTTTTTTAAACATTGAGTTGTAAGCTTTACTTACTTTTATTTGAAAGACAGAGAAATAGAGATGTATTTATTCCCCAAATGTCTTTAACAGCTGTGGTTGGGCCAGCCCGAAGCTGGGTAGCCAAGAACCCAATCTAGCTCTCCCAAGTGGGTAGCAGGGACCCAAGCCCTGAAGCTGTCACCTGCTGCTTCCCAGGGTGCACATTAGCAGGAAGTTGGAGTTGGAAGTGGAGATGAGACCCGAACTCAAACACTCAGATATGGGATGTAGTTAACTCAAGCGGTACCCAACACATCCTAACCATTCTGCCAAATGTCTGCACCATTATGTGTCCTTTTTGTTAGCTGACCTAGTAAGTGTGGAATGTTTTCTCATTGTGGTTTTGATTAGCATTTCCCTAATGAGGGAAATATTAAAAAAAAAAAAGCCTGTTTTTCTATACAATTACACTTTCTGACACCAAATGTGTAAGGAGTTTTCACACCAACCAGTTTTCTACAGACTTGAACTGGGATTGGGTGTCTTAAAATTTGACTCGGTTTTGATATCCAGAATTCAAGCAGATCCCACAGATTAAAGGCCCAATCCTGTACAACTGCCTCTGCTTCAGATGGCAGTCAAAGTCTGCGCTCCCAAGTTTCAAACCAACTGCTTATAAATCAAGAGCTCCCAAAACTTCCTTTTTATGCTTAGTAATTTGTTATAATGATTCACAAAAGGGAACCTGGTTATATGTAATAGTTTATTAAAGCAAGTTATAAGTTTTAGGGGCCGGCGCTGTGGCACAGCAGGATAAAGCCCTGGCCTGAAGCATCAGCATCCCATATCGGTGCCAGTTCTAGTCCTGGCTGCTCCACTTCCAATTCAGCTCTCTGCTATGGCCTGGGAAGGCAGTAGAAGATGGCCCAAGGCCAGCACCGCGGCTCAATAGGCTAATCCTCTGCCTGCGGCTCCGGCACCCCGGGTTCTGTCCCAGTTACTCCTCTTGCAGTCCAGCTCTCTGCTGTGGCCCGGGAGGGCAGTGGAGGATGGCCCAAGTGCTTGGGCCCTGCACCCACAAGGGAGACCAGGAGAAACACCTGGCTCCTGGCTATGGATCAGCGCGGTGCGCTGGCCTGCAGCGGCCATTGTGGGGTGAACCAACGGTAAAAGGAAGACCTTTCTCTCTCCTCTCTCTCTCTCACTGTCTAACTCTGCCTGTCAAAAAAAAAAAAAAAAAAAAGAAGAAGAAGAAGAAGATGGCCCAAGTCCTTGGGCCCCTGCACCCATGTGGGAGACCTGGAGGAAGCTCCTGGCTCCTGGCTTCGGATCAGCTCAGTTCCAGCCGTTGCAGCCATCTGGGGAGTGAACCAACAGATGGAAGACCTCTCTCTCTCTCTGTCTCTACCTCTCTCTGTAACTCTTTCAAATAAATAAAATAAATCTTAAAAAAAAAAAAAAAGATACAAATGCTCAGCCAGATGAAGAGATACACCAGCTAAAATCCCAAAGAAGGGCCCCAAACACAGTATACTTTGTCCCCGTGGAATATGGGTTCACCACCCTTCCAGCATGTGGATATATTTACCAATGTGGAACTTCCTCAAACTCCATCTTTTAGAGATCTCAATAGAGGCTTAATCATGTAGGCATAATTGATTATTAAGTCAGTCTCTACTCTCCCACCCTTCCCTGGAGGAGGAGAGTGGAGCTGAAGAGCTCAAGCTTTTGATCATGGGGCTTGATCTTTCTGGTGGGCAGTCATCACCCTGCAGCTATCCAGAATCTCTCATTAGAAAACACTCCTTATCACCCCAGAAAACTCAAGGGATTTAGGAGTTCTGTGTAGGAACCATGTTCAAAGGCCAAATATTAGTACAAAAGATACTTCTAGTACCTCTATCAATTAGGAAATCACAAGGATTTTAGGAGCTCTGTGTCAGGAATCAGAAGTGAAATATCTACTTTTATATAATATCACAGATGTTGAGCATCTTTTTCATGTGCTTAGTGGCCATTTGTATGTCTTATTTGGAAAAAAAAAAGCCTATTCAGATCAATTGGATTATCTTTTTATTGTTGAGGTATAAGTGTTCTTTGTGTATTATGTATACCAGTCCTTCATTGGATACAAGATCTGCAAATATTTTCTGCCATTTTCTGGATTGTCTTTGCACTTTCTTGATTTGTGGCACATATGTTTAAAAATTTTGATGTAGCTCAATCTAACTTTGTCTTTTTTTGCATGTGCTTTTGGTATCATATCTAAGAAAAGCACTGCCTAATCCAAGATCACAAGGATTTACTCCTGTGTTTTAAGAGTTTTACAATTTAAGCTTTACATTTAAGCTTATAATGTATTTTGGGTTAATTTTTGTATATGGTATAAAGAGGTGATACCTACTGGATTCTTTTACATGTGGATATCTCCTTGTCCTAGTACCATTTGTTAAAAAGATTGTTCTTCACAGTGAATTGTCTCAGCACCCAAGCTGTGATGATCTTCATGTTAGTAAATTCAGTGTCCATTATTTGAACTTTCAACAGAATTGATCAGTCCCTCTTCTAACTACTCTACTGTTTTGATTCTCCAGTTACTTATTTTGCTATTTCTTTTCAGTTTTTGTATGTTCCTTATCTTATGCCAAGCTTCTAAATCTTGGGTTTTCATTGTGGCTGTTAACAAGTTACCACAAAATTTAGTGCATAAAACAATCATTTATTGTTCTCATAGTTTCCTTGGGCCAGGAATTCAGACTAGGCAAACCAGGGTCAGCTTATATTTTTAACTGGAAGACTCCAGTTGGATATTGGTGTCTTCTGAAGGCATGTGTGTTTACATGTCAAAAAGTTGATGATAGCTGTTGGCTGGGTGGCCGTAGTTCATACCTACATGAATCTGTTCATGTGGTTTCTTCACGTGGACCGGTTTGAGCTTCCTCTCAGCAGGGCGGCTGTGTTTCAAGAACAGGCATGGGGTGAGGGGCGGAGAAGGGACAAGGAAACCAGGGAAAAGGCATTTGGTCTTTTATGATCAAACTTTGTAAGTCACAGAGCATCACTGGTGCTATATTTTTTTTCTTCAAGAGGGAAACATATTTTGCCTCTTCATGGGGAATGGCAAGATTTGAAATAGCATGGGAGACCAGAAATTCTGCTGTGGCCTTTAAAAAAATCCTTTATTATTATTATTTTGCCAAACAACTCTCAACTTTCCATAAAGGCTCAGGCTTGAGGTTGAAGATCTCATTGAGGGGCTGGTGTTGTGGCACAGTGGTTAGGGTACTGCTTGTGATGCCAGCATCTCCTATCAGCATGCCAGTTGGAGTCCTGGCTGCTCAGCTTCCAGTCCAGATCCCTGCTAGTGTGCCTAGAAAAGCATTGAAAGCTGGTGCTAGGTACTTGGGTCCCTGCCATCCATATGGGAGACCAGGATAGAATTCTTGGCTCCTGGCTTCAGCCTGGCCCAATACCAGCTGTTGGGGCCATTTGGGGAGTGAACCAGTGGACAGAAAATCTCTGTCTCTCCCTCTCTCTCTGCCTTTCAAATAAATACATCCTAAAAAAAATAATCTCTTTGAGATCCAGTCCAGGTGAAGCCAAGATTCCTTGGATGTGTTTTGTTGATGATAGCTCCTTACCTTTAGTTACGCTTGATCTGAAAACCTCTGAACTGAGACAAATTAACTACATCCTCCTTCCTGCCATTACCCAACAGTGATAAGGCGTAATCTTCTTATTCCAAAATGGAGAAACCAGGAGGCACTGGTCACTGATGCAGAGCAACTGTCTTATTGTCTTGTCTCCTTATGTGATCCTATTCCCATAGTTCTAAATACCATCCAAATTTCCTAACATTCCCGAATGCCACAACAGAATGAGCATTCCACTATTTTATATCTCAATTAGGTATCTCCGATATTTCAAATTTGACATGTTAAAAGGAAGTCTTGTTGTCTACCCAGCTTCCCCTACAAACCTGCCCTTTTCCTGGTTTTCTCATCTAGATAATCCTTCCATTCACCTAGTTGCTCAGACAAAACCCAGGACTCAATTTTAATTCTGTTCTATCTCCCCTCCACACCCAATCACGAGTGAGTTCTGTATTTTCTTTCTCCAAAATGTTCACCTTTTTCTTCCTACCTGGATTATAACAATTTCTTTGTTGTCTCCCTTCAGTCTTACTCCCTTCTAATTTACTTTGACACAGCAGTCAATGTAATATTTTAATTCATGTTTGACTTTGTACTCCCTTGCTCACAATCTGAGTTCTCATTACATTTGGAATAAAACCCAAATTCCTTACCTGTGTAAGTAACCGGACTTCGTCTCTCCCTCTGATCTTACCACTTTGCCCCTTTCTCATTTATCTCCCCTGGGCTTCTTTTAATTCTTTGAACATACCAAGCTCTCAAAAGGGGTCTGCACACATGCTGTTCACTTTGCCTGAAATAATTCTCTCCTGACTTCCCCCCTCCCACATTAACAGAGTACTTCCATTTTTCAAGGTATGGCATTTGTGATCATTGCCTCTAAACAGGTATCACCCTCTATATTCTCTGGCATTGTATCCTGCTGGATCCCTTTATAAAACTTATCCCACTTTTAAGTTATATCTTGTTTGTTGATTGGTTTATCCTCTTGCTCCCTAACCAGACTGTAAGTCCCAATACATCAGGTGCCATGTCTGTTACTCACCTGTATCTACCAAGTGCATACCCCATGGTATGCATTCAAATATTTATTGAATATTGTCTAAAGGTATAATTTTACTTTGAGATGTTACAATACATAAATATTAATGTACTCCTAATTATTATTGAAAATAACTTTTGTTTTTCTCTTTCAGTAACTGCCCTTCCTTTTTGGCCGCTGCTTTAGCCCGAGCCACGTCAGATGAAGTTCTTCAGAGTGACCTTTCTGCACATTATATCCCAAAGGAGACAGATGGTGCAGAAGGGACTGTGGGTAGGTAACTATTATCTAGTATTTTTTAAGTTTAAAAATACTAAAATTTTCTCATGCATAGTGATTCACAGAAGATATCTACAAAATAGTAGATCCAGTTGTATTTACTCACTAGTTCATTTTATAGTGGCAGTAGGGGAAACATGCAAATAATTTTTTTCAAATAAATCAATAAAAAGAGTGAAGAGAAAATAATACAAGTATGTTTTGCAAAAGGTAGGGTAGTATGTGGGAGGTAACTGGAGCAAATATCATAATTGTCATAAATTGTCATAAGTAATGGAAGAGTAAAATGAAGCATGTGAAGTCAGTAAACAAATATGAGTGGGTGAGAGTAGGGAGAATTTGAGCAAAACCAATTCAAAAATTTTTAGCTGGCCGGCGCCGCAGCTCACTTGGCTAATCCTTCGCCTGCAGCGCCAGCACCCCAGGTTCTAGTCCCGGTTGGGGTGCCGGATTCTGTCCCGGTTGCTCCTCTTCCAGTCCAGCTCTCTGCTGTGGCCCAGGAAGGCAGTGGAGGATAGCCCAAGTGCTTGGGCCCTGCACCCACATAGGAGACCAGGAGGAAGTGCCTGGCTCCTGGCTTCAGATCTGCACAGTGCGCTGGCCATAGTGGCCATTTGGGGGTGAACCAACAGAAGGAAGACCTTTCTCTCTGTCTCTCTCTCTCACTGTCTAACTGCCTGTCAAAAAATAAAAATTAGCTTACTTTTAAGAATCCAAGTAAAAATTAAAAAGCCCAAAATCAGGTTAGCAAAACTTATCAATTATGTTAAAATTAAATCTACCAGATTTAAATAGAGCTCTTTATGATAAATATGTAATTATTATGCATTATTGTATATCTTTTTTTCCAAGAAAATTATGAGGAGCATACATATTTGACAGGGTCTAATGAAAATATTTTCATAAAAATTAGATAATTAGGAATTTTAAGGAATATTAAATTTTGCTCTATTTTAAGCATTTGCCTTTCAACATGGTACCTAGGGAGCAGAGCATATATTAGCAAATCAGAGAAGAGAGATTCCAGAGAATGTGAGACAAATATAAACGTAAACATTCCTGTTCTTTATTTCTCTAGATTGCTTCTAACAGAAAACTGGCAAGGAATTACCATGCCTGTTTATAGTGAGTGTGATTGATTCATCTGGAACCAAATTGTTCCAGAGTCAAGATGAATAAAATTCCTTCTACAGAGCGTTGGTCTTTGCTCTGGTACTGATGCATAAAAGTAAATGCTCTATAATGAAAAAATGAGATTAAATTTTGCTTTACTGCATCCAGGGTGATGGCTGACTCAGCTCCAACTCAGTACAATGACATTAACAACTGATGAGTAATTTACAGCTGTGAGGGGGTGGACTGCTACTTTGTATAATTTTCACGTTTTTGTACCCCTTTTTAAATATATTTTTCCATTTCAAGCAGCAATTATTTATATATTGAAGTCCTACATCACTCCTTGCAGAAGGGGAATACCTCGTGTAGTACAGTTGAACTGTCCTACACACCCACTTTGGAAGAATTTTCTGAGCCCCATAGGAAAACAGAAATGAAATAAAGGGCCGTTGTTTGGTGGTATCATTGGTCATTCTGATTTTATATTTTCCCAGGAGATTAGTCAGTGATGTCTCCATGATATTGCTGTGATTCAGACTTATCTAACTAGAATTCTGAACCATTTGCAAATCCTTGATCTGGTTCCCCCAGTCACTCAGTGTGAACCTCGCTGAGCAGCGTCTTTGGGTCAGGTCGTGTTTATTCCCATATCAGAAGGAACAGGTCCTGCTGCCACTGGCTTAAAGGCACTGAAGTCCCTCCTGATGTGCCTTTTATCCCTCTTCTTGTTTCCAAAAAATAGACTTAAAAAAAATCCTTAACTTAATGTTCTTTTCATGTTTATGTCATTCATTATAGAATGTTTTCTATGTGACCTTGCATATCTGATGTGGTACTAATGTAGTTGGGCAGATATAAAACCCAATTTGAAGTATCCCCATGAAAATAAAAAACAAAATGGGAAAATGATTACTAATACAAGGGAAATTTAAAGAATTAAGAAAAGTTTGTGTAAATAAATTTGAAGACCTGGGTATTTTTCTCAAAAAAATAAGTAAACATGGTCTAAGGAAAGACAGATTGAGAAAATTTTCAAGGACGAAAGGAAACAGAATAGATGATTCTACAGGTGAATATTTTCAAATGGTCAAAGGCAGATAATTACAATATTATTTTTAAAAAATTCTTTAATTGCACAAAGAAGAAATATTTGCATAGCCTAACAGTCACACCAAGCCTAAGACCAAACAAAAGGAAATGAGACCCATCTTAGTAATCAGTATAAAAAAATCTTAAGCAAAATATTTGTATATTGAGTACAACAGTTAAATCATTCAATGAATATTATATTGAGAGTCTACCATATGTTTAGTGTTGTGATGGGTAAATAGCAGTGAACACAATAAAAATGTTGGGAAGTCTATTAGCATAATTTTTATATTAATAGGTTAAGAAAAAAACAAGATAATCTCTAAAGATGCCAAAAGAAGCATTCAGTAAAATATCCTTCCCAAATTTTAAAAATGTTCTTAATAAAGTAGGACTAGATAAATATGTCTTGGACAAGGTAGGATAAAATTTGGTTCAAACAAAAATCAAGTTTTTATTCTTAATGTATATTCAGAAACTTTTTGGTTGTAGATACCATAAATGCAATTCTAATTGGCTTCAGCGAAACAGATTTTGTTGGTTGCCCTCCAGTGTTAAGGCTACACAGATAGTTTCAAGGTTTCAAATGATGTCAGCAGACCCTGCCATTTCTCCGTCGCAGAGCTGCACACTCTCTGATTTTTATTTTCATACTCCATGGATGGCAACGTGACTGCTGGGAATGCCAGGTCTTCATTTACCCTAGTTGAGCAGGAAAACAAGAATAGCTTATCTCACCTGCTTTTACATAAGTCAGAGGATCCAGTCTAATCAACCCAACTTGTATAGTTTGTCATTCCTGATGAAGTCACTCACTGTGGCCAGAGGAATGTGATTCTGTAGTAATATTTTAATCATGTTTTACCCAAGTTGAACATGGACTGAGAGTGAAGAAGGAAATATTTGTTAAGTGGAAAATAACACATTAAAACAAAGTTCCGCGGCTCACTAGGCTAATCCTCCGCCTAGCGGCGCTGGCACCCCGGGTTCTAGTCCCGGTCGGGGCACCAGATTCTGTCCCGGTTGCCCCTCTTCCAGGCCAGCCCTCTGCTGTGGCCAGGGAGTGCAGTGGAGGATGGCCCAGGTGCTTGGGCCCTGCACCCCATGGGAGACCAGGAAAAGCACCTGGCTCCTGGCTCCTGCCATCGGATCAGCGCGGTGCGCCGGCCGCAGCGCGCTGGCCGCGGCGGCCATTGGAGGGTGAACCAACGGCAAAAGGAAGACCTTTCTCTCTGTCTCTCTCTCACTGTCCACTCTGCCTGTCAAAAAACAAAACAAACAAAAAAACAAAAAACAAAAAACAAAAAACAAAGTTCCAATTAAAAATAGCAAATAAAGAAAATAACTAAGAATAAAGTGATTAAGAAACATGAAGGATCTGGGTTAAAATTCTATTGATCAACAAGAAAAGAATTTAAATGAATGAAACGATATAATTTGTTCCTGGATAGGATTCACTATGAAAAAATATCCATTTTTTTCTGAATTAATTTGTGAACTCAATGTGATTTCAAACACAATGGCAATAAGTTTTTTCTGGACAAACTTGGAAAAATAATTAGAAAGTTCATCTGGAAAAAGAAACATGTCAAACTACCCAAGTTACATTTTTTAAAATTAAGAATAGCTAGGAAAACTAGTCTCCTGATATTAAAACATATTTTAAAGTTAAAATAATTTACCATTGTAGACATAGAGAGATGAATGAAGCAGATTAAATAACCAAGAAGTATATAAATATTTTAATATTTTTGTGGTTATTTATATATATAATATTAACAGTTTCCGCATTCATTAATTCAACAAACATCTAACAAGCCCCTGCTGTCTGCTGGGAATTGTACTATGGCTAATCAAGGACAATTAAGACACAGCTTCTCTCTCTAATCTGAGAGATGAAAAACATGGATTTTAGAGCTCTATGTATTGGGATTGAAATGGTTTTACACAGAATGTTGTAGCAAACACCCAGTACATGATATCTGTTGTTACAAAATGTGGTTAAGGGTTTTAATAGTTAAACAAAATGGATTGGGAAGCACAGGAAAGAAGTAACTGAGGAGTATGGACAGATCTAGAGGTTAACTAATTTGAGATGAAACTAATAGTGCTCTCAGCAATTTAATCTGTCTGTACTGACTCAGTGCACTGACAGTACACTTGTGAAAATGTTTTCTCTGGTAGCCACTAGCCAAATAAAGTTATTAAGCCCTTGGAGTATAGCTAATACGACCAAAAAACTGAATTTTAAATATAAATTTTAATTAATTTAAATAGCTATGTGTGGCCAGTAACTACCTTATTGGACAGTGCAGGTCTATATGCTACAAGTACTATACAACCAAAGAATGAAAACAGTAATTTATATTATTATATGGGAATCTCGAAACTATCCTGATAATTAATATCAGTTATTTGTTTCATTCCACTCCATTCTCTCTGAATTCTGAGTTTCTGAATTCACCTGGTTATTTTAAAATTGAGTCAAATAAAGGCACAGCCATCTCACTATCTGCATCTGGGAGAGACCAGGTGGATTGGAATGATACACATAGATAGTTGCTGACTGAATCTCGTGAGGCAGCTAGTGTTTTAAAAGAAGGCTGGGGTTCCTCAGAGCAGTCAAGCTGTTGGGCTGTCTGCTAGCCTGTTTCTTACTTGTACACATCTCCTCAGGCTGTATTTCTTCTTGAACTTTTTTTCTTTCACTTTCAGTGTCCCTTGATTTTCAGTTACACAAAAAATTTTAAAAGGAATTAGGCCATAAGCAGGATTTGCCACCCTGTACTGTGCTAATGAGGAAAGAAAGGAAACAAAAACTTGACACTGGTTTTCTGCATACAGTCATTTTTAAAATCATTTTGAATTTTAAAAGCAGGTAAACACAGTAGTCACAAAGTAAAGCAAAGGCAGAACTGTGATTTAAAAAATGGGAGTCCAAGTTCCCAGGTCGTTCAGGAAAATACAGCATCTCTTCTTTGAGATATGTCTTCTAGATTGGAGGAGGTTTATACAGCTGTTGCTCATCTGACACATTTTCTGAGACCATCAAGCTATATCTGATTCAGTAAATTAAAAACAAAATTTTTATCTGAGATAAAAGAACCACCACTAAAATTCTGGCCTGAGAAAACAAATATTGCAGTAGATGTAATTTGACTGGAGGGCTAAATGATATCAGATGCAATCTCTTCAGTACCATGTAGTAGTGTTGTTTAAAAGGCTTACACATATGGCCATCTACTGAGGGATAGAACTTCAGTACCTTTTTCCTTAGAGAAATATACAACTTTTAACCCACTTATTAACCTATTGGCTAAACTACTGCCTAAAACTTTTACAAATAAAGATATCAAATAGCAAAAATGTGTAATTCAGTTCCAGATGATCATCTGCAAGATGGAGAAAGATTAGGGAACTGGTTAAGGAAAGGAAAAGGGAGAAAGAGGGATGAAGACAAATGGTAACCAAGAGAAACTTCTCTTATTCCTGTAGTTTGCCAGCTGTGTCTTCTATGGCCATCCACAGTTCAGTTAACCAGACAGTCGTTCATATTCCAGTCATTCTTCCATGCTCAACAGGAGAGTGGCTCTCTAGGTGATACCCACAAGAGCCTGAGCAGCAGGGAGAGAGAGCACTTCCTGGATTGGAAAAAATCAAGCATAGGAATGGGTCCAGCTGTAGGCAAAAATTTTCTGCTCAAGAAATATGAGGATACTTTAGTGGCCTGATTTTCACCAGATAGGCTGTCATTTTCTTTCTTCAAAAGCATAGAAGGATAAATTTCTTCTGTTAAGAAGGAGCTTGACTAAGGTGACCTACTTTCTGTCTTTACCAAGCGGGCAAATGAAAAGCAGTTTTACAAGGCTCTTCATTGGGGGTTTCTGTGTTTCCTTCACAGAGATTGAGACAGTGAAATTGGCCCGTTCTGTCTTCAGCAAACTACACGAGATTTGTTGCAGCTGGGTGAAAGACTTCCCTCTCCGCAGGAGACCCCAGCTTTATTATGAGACATCAATCCATGCCATCAAAAACATGCGCAGGAAAATGGAGGACAAACATGTCTGCATTCCTGACTTTAATATGCTCTTCAACCTAGAGGTAAAGGGCACTTTTGCAGAGTGAGAGAGATTTCAAAAACACCTTCATGGTCCTACTAGAAAATGAAGAGAACTTCTAATATCGTATCTCTGATAGGTCAGAGTGGGACTAAATGTCTCGTGCTTAAATTTGCATACAGTAGACAACAGAAAAGGGACAATCTGTTATTTTGAATAGGTTCTGATGGTTCAAAATTGGGAAAATTGAAATCTCTCTATTATCCTTTTCTCCCAGAGATACTCAGTTCCCCTTCGTAAAGGCAAGGGGAGTTACGAGTCTCTTGTGTAACCTTTCAGAGCTATTTGATAAACATATACACAAAAAAGAAAACCAGTCTGTCTCAATAATGCTTTTTCTTTTTAAAGGGAACTATTTCTATAGTACAATCAAATGGTGTTTGTTAAGTTCACATATTACAATGTTACTGAAGAAACACAAAGCACAAACATAAAAGAATGAATTAAAGGCTGAGACATTTTCTTATTTCATGTGATTTTCTTTTCAAAATCTTGGTCTCTGAAACAGGAAAGTAGCTAGAATTATATTTCATGAACCTCTGTGACTGACAAATTGGATTCATATGAGCTTTGTCAGCTTAATAACCATTTTCTTATTCTCTTTCTCTATTAAATGTATTATGTTAATACAAACAGAGATGGATTGGTTTCCTTTTCCTGTCATTTGCCTCTTTTCTTCACTCTAGTCCATAACTAAAAAATTAAAATGCAGTAATTTATACAAAGCACAATATTTCCTTCACTTAGCAGCTAAATTTAAATTTTAGCTGTCAAGGTCTAATCAGCAGTGAGGGGTGGGTAGGTAATTAATGCTTACAAAGACAGCTTAGCTGGTATCTTCGGTTTCAGTGCCATGTTCCTGCAAGCGTAATGTACAAGCTCTTTTGTGAAAAACAATCCTGTATCACTACACCTGTTTAAAGAGTCTACTCAAACTAAACAGCATTATTGCTGTTTGTTGGCTTGATTGGTTTTTATTTTGCCTCCTTATTTTAAAATCATCCCAAAAGCCTAAGTCATAAAAGAGAACCTCTTGTTATAGTGAAATAGGATTTGAGGGCAGTTTGGCAATGCATATTTAGAACTATAAATTTTCACACATCCTTTGATTTGGTAATTTCACTTTTGATTATTTGTTACAAGGAAATACAAATGTGGAATAGAAATCTATTTTTTGTTTAACATAAATGCTTGTTTCTAATTAAAAAAATTGGAGGAGTGGGTATTTAGCATGGCAGTTAAGATGCTCACATCCCACATCAGATTTCTTGGATTCAGTTTCCCTGCTCTGGCTCCTGAGTCCAGCATCCTGCTAATGCACACACTGGTAGGCAGTGGTGATTGCTCAAGTAATTGGGTTCCTGCCACCCTTATAGGAAACCTGGATCATATTCCCAACTCCCAGCTTTAACGATTGGAGTGAACTAGCAGACAGAAGATTGCTCTTTCCGTGTCTCTCAAATTAAAACTGGAAATGATCTAAATAATTTAAGGAAGTTATAACTATGATATGCTCATATGATGTATATTTTTAGCCATTTATAATGTCTTCAAATAATACTTAAGTTCATGGGAAAATGTTAATCATATAACAAATGACCAAAAAGTTATAAGCTTTTATGTACAGTGATCCTAATTTTAAATATCTATGTATGAAAAACTGGTTATCTATAGATGGTGGGATTATATGTGTTATTTATTTCTTCTTTACCCTTCTTTGTCCAAATTATCACACATTAGTATGATAAGTAAAACATCAGTAAATATATTTTGTCTCCTTTAAAAGCAGCTGTACTTTTTTAAAAAGAAATTCATTTTACTCCCTTTTGTTTCTTCTGATGCTATAGTTATTTGAGTACTGCCCTAATATAGATAGGAATTATGCATGTCAGGATTATTTCTAGGTAGTTCTGTTTAATCAGTCTCCAATGGCATTAGAGATGGTATTGCTTAAATTGCAAAATGACAAGTTGTAATATCCATCTTAAATACAGATTTTTATAACATTTAGGTGTCATTACTCTAAGGACATTTACATTTGGTACTTTTGTAATATACTCTTCAAAAAGAACAGATACACCTGTTTAGTTCCCAAGAGACAGCACTCGCTTCTTGCTTAACAGATGAGAAAGCTGTCTGATTTGCTCAGAATCAATGACAGGTAGACTGCTTTAAGGCTTGCAGAACCTAAGGAAAAAGAAGTCAAAATACTTGTAAATGAAATACATCACTACCATTGATTGTCTAAAGGGAGTTCAGGTTTCAGTGAGAGTTGAGTCAAAGATCTAAGTGGGACATATCTGAGACTGAAACACGGATGAAGAAGCAAACCACCAAAATGGTTGAAATTAACATGATTAGTGTCCTTTGTCAAGACAAAGCACAGGACTGGAAGACCCTCCCTATGCAGTTGTCTTTGCTAGAAAATGTGAAGCTAAATCTTGGATCACAGGGTTAAGCCAAGAGGTGGGGCCACACAGAGCATTTGGGAATCTGATGTGTTCAAATTTGGTTAACTAGAGACTCTGCTATAAATGGTGAGAATTCATTGTGACCATGAATGACTTAAGTATTATAGTTTAGAAATATGTGTATGCTTTCTTTCCTTTATGTATTTTAAACATTCTGAACATAGTTAGCCTTATGCTGGAGGGCAATTATTTCCTTTTCTCATAGGTTCTAATTTTACTGTTAAAATAGCTGTATTTTTAAAAAAGTTCTCAATTCAGAACAGTTTTTACTCAATTCTTCCTCATACCTTCTCATTCCTCTCCCTCCCCTCAATGTGTAACAGCAATTTTGAAGCAAATGTATGTGGGTGGTTTCCATGGTACACGACAACAACTTTCCCAAAGAGGGTACTTCAGCCTGATCTAATTGAGCGTGATGTGTTCCAGTGTGTAAACACAGATGCCCTAATATTACCAGATATTTCAGCAGCTGATCAGGCATGATTTAGTCTCCTTATCTGAATGACAAATGCAATGAAGGTTAAGGATGGGCAACACTGAAACATTGATTTCAATCATACTAGAGCCAACTCCTTTAACTGTTCTGTGTTTCTGTTGACAGGACCAGGAAGAACAAGCTTACTTTGCAGTGTTTGATGGCCATGGGGGAGTAGATGCTGCCATTTATGCCTCAATTCACCTACACGTTAACTTAGTTCGCCAGGAGATGTTCCCCCATGATCCTGCTGAGGCCCTGTGCCGGGCCTTCCGGGTCACTGATGAGCGGTTTGTACAGAAAGCGGCCAGGGAGGTATGCCACTCTCTCATAAATTCTAGCCATGAAGGCGCTGGCCAAGCTCAACTTAGGCTGTGTTGTTTAAGGATGAGTTTGGATTTTCTCTTTCTGAGAAGACATTATCCAAGCTGTATTTTCTTGACCTGTAATATTAGATTATGTTCCCATGTAAGGAATGAGTCCAGAAGGGTACAATGATGGACTGTATAGAAACACTCCAACCGCAATTTTCTGGATTCATGTCTATAATCATTGCTGGATTTGGCAGGTGAATATTTTATTCACCATTGCCTGTCGGGTTCACACCAGCACTATCTCTCTGACTCTTGTTTAAGATCTGGATATGGTGAATAAATGATTTTTTTTTTTTTTTTTTGGAACAGGCAGAGTGGACAGTGAGAGAGAGAGACAGAAAGGTCTTCCTTTTGCTGTTGGTTCACCCTCCAATGGCCGCCGCAGCTGGTGCGCTGCGGCCAGCGCACCACACTGATCCGATGGCAGGAGCCAGGTACTTATCCTGGTCTCCCATGGGGTGCAGGGCCCAAGGACTTGGGCCATCCTCCACTGCACTCCTGGGCCACAGCAGAGAGCTGGCCTGGAAGAGGGACAACCGGGACAGAATCCGGCGCCCCGACCGGGACTAGAACCCGGTGTGCTGGCGCCGCAAGGTGGAGGATTAGCCTATTGAGCCACGGCGCCGGCTTAAACAATGATCTAAAAAAGAAACAGAAACTGGGATTATTTCCATACATTTGGTTCCAACTGGGTAGGCAGTGTTTTGCTGTGTATCTCTTGAGGGAAATTTTGCTTGCAGAGGATGAATCCTCAGATGATCCTTGAATTGATTTTCTCTTTAACAGGAAAAAGAAGTTGAGTTCATGGCTTGTGCTACTAAGGCTAATCAAACCTAAGATTTTTACTCTGAATGAATGATAAGGGACTATATTAAGATGTAAAAGTAAAAAAAATTTAATTATCATTCTGGCCATTGGTACATAATTAACTGCAGTACTCTCTACTGAATTTTTAACAGAGCCAATAGAAAAAAATTTTTAATTTAAAAAAGTAATTACAGACAGATACACATAGAAAATAAGGCTCCTGTTCTTGACTTAAATGTGAACTCCTTTTAAAATGGAGAGAATAGGGTAATCATTTAATCCATTTCTTTTATCTTAGTCATGCTATACAGCAATAATGGAACTTAGAATTAATAAAACAGTAATTCAGAATTATTTGGTATTAAGCAAGAGAAATATTCTCTATCTTCTCCTTCCTCCCCCAAGTCTGGATTAATATGCAAATCCAACAACAGTAACCACCGGGGTCCGCATGTAGAGACAAGGCTGGAAGGTAAACTACGATTCCGGACTTCAGGCCTTGCTGGTCTGTTGAAGAGCACATCCTTCTTGGCTGTGCCTTTCTTGAACCTGCCGACTGTGATCATTCTGAGGGCAGGATGTGGTCCCAAGATGGGATCTGTAATCACCAGTATACAACAAAGAGAATCACTTTGTCCTCCTTTTATCCTCTATCCTATTCCTCCTCCTCCTCAAAATTATAGCTTTTTTTTTCCAGACCATGTTTATCTCTGTTTTGTTCTTTCACCGATCCTAGAGTCTCTCAGTTCTGCCAATAGTTCTCTTGAGTAGTTTCGGTTTGTCTCAGCAGTCACTTCTTGTCCTCCCATGTGCTGCTAAATGCTGGGGAAAAGTAGCTATTCCTGTGGTGAAGCAGCCCTGCCTCCTGTTCTCTCCAGGGCATATGCACTGAAGTGTCTTTATCATGTGTTCCAGAGGGCTGAGTTTTTGAACATTCTGTGTAGGAAGACATTTTATCGGTGGGTGAGGATTTATAACAAACTTTCCCTACATAGGGAAGACAAGAAGTTGTTTTTCTCATTGGATACAAGGGGTTCTTCATCACCCCTGATGCATTGGTTCTAATTTAGGCCAGGTCCTTAGTAACAGAAAGTCATGCTCATTTGGTGGTGACTCATGTCAAATGGAGATGTCATTTTAGGATAGCAGGATCAAGGGCTTTAAGTACAGTGGTAGCTACTACAGTGAAATCCTGGGCTGTTAGTTCCTGTAATTTTCCAAAAGCAAAGGCCCCTGAAAATACTGTAGGAAAGACATATATATATATATGTACATACACACACACACACATATATATATATCTTTATGTATTTATTTATTCAAAGGTAAAAGCAGGCATCTTAGTCTCCAGGCAGTCTATACTGTCTCTAGGCTCCTTATCCTAATATTCAGAGATAGGGAGCATTTGTTGTATATCAACCAAAGGCTTTTTAGATTATTTTGTATATCACAGACTCTCCTACAGTACATAAAGGTCAGTAATAAAAGAGACCAGAATATGGAAATTTTTCCTCTAAGAATTGATACACTGGAATGAACACTGGAATGGAAGAAAAAAAATGTAGTTCTGTTTTCTGTATTAATCAGTTACCTGCCATTGTTTTCTCTGTACTAAAAATAAATCCCTGCCTTTCATATCACAGATCAGATGGATTTATGTATACATACACACATAAGTACCTACATGCATCTAAAAATGCACTGGGTTTTCTGTATTTGTAAAATTGTATTATTTATAGTTAGCTACCATCTGAAAAGTTTTTACTCAAAACAATTTCTCAATGAGAATTTGATATGTTTATTTTCACTGACTCTAGTTTTACACTGTTTTCAGAGCTTAAGATGTGGGACCACAGGAGTGGTGACTTTTATCAGAGGTAACATGCTACACGTGGCCTGGGTGGGTGACTCCCAGGTTATGCTTGTGAGAAAGGGCCAAGCTGTTGAACTAATGAAGCCGCATAAACCAGACAGAGAGGTAAGTATAGTCTATTCTATGCCTTAAAGGGAGTTTTCTAGTTTATTAATTAGGGTTCACTTAATTATTAAAATTAGCACTATTATCTCAGCAACCATGCCCACTTTCCAAAGAAGGAACAGAGAAACCTTTTCAGGAAACTAGTGAATTTTATATTTGTTGTTTACTCTCAAAATAATAAACATGAATCCACTTAATTGCTTTTTTTTTAATTGCATTGTTGTTTAGGATGAAAAGCAGCGAATTGAGGCCCTTGGAGGTTGTGTAGTCTGGTTTGGTGCCTGGAGGGTAAATGGAAGTCTGTCCGTATCCAGAGCTATTGGTAGGAAAAACTAACTTCTCTTTCTCCAAACTGTCCTCTTCTAGCTCACTGTCTTATACTGACTGCTACAAGTTAATCTGAAGTAATTTATATTATCATAATGCTTTTATTGTTGTTTATAAAACCAATGCTACTTTTTAATTATTTATTTAAACCTGCCTCATGTGTAAATACTACTATTAAAACGGAGCCATAAATTCAGAATTTACTAGTTTCTACCTATTTTATTATTTTTAATGGAAGCCGTAAACCTTTACTTAAAAAAATTTTTTTGAAAGGCAGAGTTACAGAGAGAGAGAGGGAGAGAGAGAAAGAGAAAGGGACAGAGGGAGCGAGAGAGAGAGATACCTTCCATCTGCTGGTTCACTCCTTGAAGAGACAATAGTCAGGGCTGGGCCAGGCTGAAGTCAGGAGCTGCTTCCAGGTCTCCCACATGGATGGCGAGGACCCAAGGACTTGGGCCATCTTCTGCTTTCCCAGGCATGTTAGCAGAGAGCTGGATAAGAAGTAGAGCAGCTGGGACTCGAACCAGCACCCTAGTGCTGCAGGCAATGGCTTAACCTAATGCGCCACAGTGCCAGACCCTGTTAATCTGCTTAAAACCATAGTGATTCTCATTTAAATCAGTATTTTCCAGAAACTAGAAGGATCTTCCCATATTTAACACACACTTATTCTGCTCATATCTTTAACTTTTAAGTGAACTGACATAAATAACAGAATTACTAGGAAAAACATTGTTTTTTACATAAAAAGTATTTTCTGAAAAATAATTTTTCAGATAACCCTGAGATTTTAAAGAACCTGACTCCCTGGGACTTAAGAGGAAAATCAGCAAAACTCCTTAAACAGTCAAACTGAGTAGATAAAATGCAAGGGAATAAGTTCAAAGAATTGAACTGTTTCTATCTCTGCCTCACATTAGGCCCTGGGTTTATTATTTTAAGCACCTTGGCTTATTTTACTTCCTGATTTTTTAAAAAAGAACTCTGTTTTTATGAGTGACTTGTGTAAATATTGCAATTCTTAATCTATTAGTGCAACTCAATTCTTATATTAATATTACAAATTTTTTTTTTATTTACTTATTTGACAGAGTTAGACAGTGAGAGAGCAAGACAGAAAGAAAGGTCTTCTTTCCATTGGTTCACCCCCCAAATGGCCACCACGGCCGGAGCTATGCTGATCCGAAGCCAGGAGCCAGGTACTTCTTCCTGGTCTCCGATGCAGGTGCAGGCGCCTGCCCAAGCACTTAGGCCATCCTCCACTGCCCTTCCGGGCCACAGCAGAGAGCTGGACTGGAAGAGGAGCAACCGGGACTAGAACCCGGTGCCCATATGGGATGCCGGCGCCGCAGGCAGAGGATTAACCAAGTGAGCCATGGCGCCAGCCCCAATATTACAAATTTTTTTTTAAAAGATTTTATTTATTTTGAGAGGTGGAGTTAGAGAGAGAGAGGGAGAGACAGAGAGAGAGGTCTTCCATCTGCTAGTTCACTCCCCAAATGGCCACAACAGCCGGTGCTGAGCCAATCTGAACTCAGGATCTAGGAGCTTCTTCCAGGTCTCCCACGTGGGTGCAGGGGCCCAAGCACTTGAGCCATTTTCCACTGCCTTCCCAGGCTATAGCAAAGAGCTGGATCAGAAGTGAAGCAGCCAGGACTCGAACCAGTGCTCATATGGGATGCCGGTGCCACAGGCGGAGGCTTAGCCCTCCACACCACAGCACCGGCCCCCAAAATTACAAATCTTAATCCCTGAAGAAATGTATTAGACACAGATTTAAGAGAAAGAGTTCACATCTAACCCTCAAATTTAACTTTTTATTGCCAAAACATCCAGAATATTAAGAAAATCTTGTAGGACTGATTTAGTTTCACCAGTGATTTCAGTTCCTTTTACTCCTGGGGAAAGTTCTGGCAAACTGTAAAGTGGCCCGAATCTGAGCAGTAGAAGGCTGAAAGCGAAATACAGCTAAAAGATTCTTCAGATACCTTCTGAAAAATTGAGAGCTGGCTTTACCCAAGACTGAGGGAGTTATTAGAACTTGAATAGGGCCAAAAAGGAGAAAATATCATTTCTGAAATATACCCCATATAGAATTATTTTGACACCTCTAGCCAAAGACTTCCCCTTCTTGGTCTTACCTGTCTATCAGAGGATGGAGGGGTTTCGTTGAACCAATTTATTAAATACTTTCCATTTTTTCTAAAAATGTAACACAAGAGGCAATCAAAGCAGGAGAGGAATGTCCTTGAATAAGTGATAGTTTAAGGGATACTGCACAGAAGTTGAATTGGACGTGGAGGACAGTGTTTAGAGAAGGAAATCCCAGCACAGCAAAGGACATATAGGTGGGGTTTGAAAGGGCACTGCATGTTTCAGGAGTGGCAACGAATCTAGGATGCTTGAAGCAAAGGGTGGGAGTGGTAGAGATTTGAAGTGTTGGTGTCAGATTGTGAAGGGCATTAAATACGAGGCTGAGTGGTCTGAACTGTACCAGGTGAGAGGCGGAGGGGTCACAGCTCAGATACACATACAGGGCTGGAATGGAAGATGGACTGAAAAAGAGCCTGGTGGGGAGATCATTCAGAAGGCTGTTGGTAGGGTTGTGACAGATGTGAGGACAGCTGAAAAGGGACATGGAGGAGGGTATAAACTGATGAGACAAACACGATAGGTTAAAGGGAAGAGGAAAGCTAACCCCCAGGTTTCTGACTTGTGAATGCAAAGATGATAAAGCATTTGTAATAAACATTTTGGCGACAGGACAACATAACAATGAATTCAGGTTAGACATATTTCATATTCTAAGCACCTGTGGGATATCAGAAGAGAATTTCTGTACAGTTGGGAGTACAGTCCTACAGTTCAGTTGAGAACTCTGGATTGGAGATAAAAATCTGGGGACTCATTCCATTTTCATAGTGGCATCAGCACATTGTGACGTGAGGGGTACATTCATGTAGTGCAGTGATGCTACCAGCACATTGTGAAGTGGTGTATTTCTGTAGTAGCTGAAACTACAGAATAGATGACATTGCCCAGGAAAAATATGTAGTCTGGAGGCCAAGAGGAGACTTACTATTGCAGATGGAATAACACAGTGGAGTTAGACTCTTTGGGTTTGCATCTTGGCTCTGCCACTGTGGCACTGTGGGTCTTGGGAAACTTTGCTTCTCTGTGATATTTGCTCCTTTGTAAATGGGAGTAACAGTACCTGCCTCATGGAACTTTTTAAGTACTAAATGGTGTAACACACCCACTGGACTTTGAACCATGCCTGGCAGTGTCTTGGCACACAATGGTTGTTTTGTACTATTATTAAATGTAAAGGAGTCTTAAAACGAATAAGTGATGAGAGATAGAAAACTGAGGTGTTAGAAATGGTGAGGGAGATAGGGCTTTGAGACAGGAAAGTAGTCAACAGGCTCAGATGCTGCAGAGGTCAAATGAGAAGTGACTTAAAAAAAAAACTATGGGATTTTAAAAGTAGATGATTGGTGACATCTAAGAGACATGTTTTAGACTGAAAGATAGAAAAGCTGATCAGATTACAAAAAAAATCAGGTGAGGGAGAATAGGAAATAATAAAAAGGAGCAAATTTACATTTAGTTTCTTGAGCAGTTTGATGGTGAAGGGAGAAAGGAAAAAGTGTGGTGGCTTGAAGAAAAAGCTGATTTAGGACAGGGCTGATTTTATTATTTCTATTTTTAGGAGACAAGACTTTAGATTGGAGTATGTTTGTAGTGAAGAGGAGACAGAAAACAGAGAAGTTGAAAATGAAAGTAGGAAAGCTGGACACTTAGGGAGAAAGGATCAACAGCATAGGTTAGCTCGGAGAAGGGGAAGGGTATCTCCTACGATGAGAAGATGGTAGGTGATATAGGTGAATCTCTACACACTGAAAAACAAATGGAGCAGGCCACATTCCATATCAGAATTCCAGTTGAAATACCAGCTTCTCCATTTCTTTTTTTTTTCTTTAAGATTTGTTTGTTTATTTGAAAGACAGAATTAGAGAGGGAGGGAGGGAGAGGGAGAGAGAGAGGACTTTATCTGCTGGTTCACTCCCCAAATGGCTGCAATGGATGGAGCTGGGTCAATCCAAAGCGAGGAGTTAGGAGCTTCTTCTGGGTCTTCAGTGTCCATATGGGATGCCGGCACTGCAGGTGGCTGCTTTTACCCGCTACGCCACAGTGCCAGCTCCCTGTTGATGCACCTGGGAGGCAGTAGATGATGGCTCCAATACTTGAGTCCTTGCTACCCACATGGGAGACCCAGATGGAGCACCTTGTTCCTGGCTTTGGCCTGGTCCAGCCCAGTTGTCAAGGGTATTTGGGGAGTGAACCTGTAGATGAAGAGCTCTGTCTCTTCCTCTCTGTCACACTACCTTTCAAATAAATAGATAAATCTTAATAAAAAAAAAAAAAAAGGTTGGGGGAGGGCGGTAGGAATTGATAAAGCTCAAGCCTGATAAACTTAATTTTCTTTGGAATGGGAAATCAAATAGCTCATTGAATGAGGGGGCTGACAAATATAATTATTTGGAAAACTCATGGGATAAAATATAAGGGTAGTTCAGAAAGTTCATGGAGAATGGAATCAAAAAATTTTAATTTTGGAGCCAGCACTGTGGCACAGTGCCACTGCCTGCAATGCCAGCATCCCATTTAGGCGCTGGTTCAAGTTGTGGCTGCTCCACTTCTGATCCAGCTTACTGCTAATATGCCTGGGAAAGCAACTGAATATGATGGCCCAAGTGCTTGGGCTCCTGCACGTATGTGGGAGACCTGGATGAAGTGCCTGCTGCTGGCTTCACCCTGGCCCAGCCCTGTGGCCATTTGGCGAGTAAACCAGTGGATGGAAGTTCTCGCTCTCTACCAATTTCACTCCCTCTCTGTAACTCTGTCTTTCAAATAAATCTCTTTTTTTTTAACAGGCAGAGTGGACAGTGAGAGAGAGAGACAGAGAGAAAGGTCTTCCTTTTGCCGTTGGTTCACCCTCCAATGGCCGCCGTGGCCAGCGTGCTGCGGCCAGCAAACCACGCCTATCCGAAGGCAGGAGCCAGGTGCTTATCCTGGTCTCCCATGGGGTGCAGGGCCCAAGGACTTGGGCCATCCTCACTGCACTCCTGGGCCACAGCAGAGAGCTGGCCTGGAAGAGGGACAACCGGGACAGAATCCAGCGCCCCGACCTCAAATAAATCTCTTTTAAAAAATGTTTTGGTGCAAAATCTTTTTGAAATCTCTGCAGATGAGGATTTTCCAAAAGTTTATGAAAAACCTGTATCATGAAAAAATTATGCAAATTATTCAATTTGGGGTCAAAATATACTCTTAATTCCATTTTCCATGAACTTAAAGATTTATTTATGTATTCAAAAGACAGAGAGTGAGAATATCCTCCATCGACAGGTTCACTCTCCAAATGGCTGCACATTTGGGGCTGGTCTAGGCCAAAGCCAGGAGGCAAAAGTTCCACCCAGATCTTCCACATGGGTGGCAGGAGCCAAGCACTTGGGCCATCTTCACTGCTTTCCTCCCCAGGCACATTAGCAGGAGCCAGACTGGAAGGGAGCAAGGACTGGAACTGGTGCTCTGATACCGGAGGCTGTTGTGGCAGGTGACGGTAGGTTAGCTCACTGTGCCACAATACCAGCTCCCTCCATGAGCTTTCTGAAGGACCCTTGTGGTGGTTCAAGTAGGGGCAAGAAAAGAGATTCCTGAGCAGCATCCAGTTCTACTTAGGAAAAAATAATACTCATAATGCTTTAAAAATGAGAAGCTTTGCGACTGCTTCTCTCCATGAGCCCTTCAGATTTTTGATCCAAAGCTGACAGAGGCATGATGTGTTTCTAGCATATGGGAAGAGGAGGTTAAAAACTAAAGGAGGTTGCCAGGAAATGGGTATTCATGCCCTCCTCCCAAATTTAGAGGCGAAATGTCATGAATTTGAGACCCAGAAGTAGAGCAGGTGAAAAGCCAGAATTCTGGGAGTGTTTTCTCTGTGCAAGTCCTTGTATGTCCTGTTCCAAATGAACAGTTGCAGTAGTCTTTTAATTGAAGCACTAAGACAAGATTTGTTGGAACAGCATGACTCAGATCACATTTATTTTTAGAGATGGAATTTGGAAAATAATGATGATAATATGGTCAGGTAGAGTATGGAATGGGGAAATTTACAAAATGGATTGGTGGAGGTCATCAAATCTCAGGACTTGGAGTTATAATTTGCTCTTATTGGAGGCATTGTACTATACAAGTGAAGTTGATGGAATCAAAACCAGCAGGGTTTTGAGTACTATTAGAAATATGAATTGGGGCCGGCACTGTGGTGCAGTGGGTTAAGGTCCCAGCCTGCATTGCCAGCATCCCATATGGGCGCCAGTTTGAGTCCCAGCTGCTCCACTTCCTATCCAGCTCTCTGCTATGGCCTGGGAAAGCAGCAGAGGATGGCAAGTGCTTCGGCCTCAGCACCCACAGGGAAGACCCGGAAGGAGCTCCTGGTTCCTGGCTTTGGCCTGGCCCATCCCTGGTCATTGCAGCCATTTGGGGAATGAACCAGCAGATGGAAGACCCTCTCCCTGTCTCTACTTCTCTCTGCAACTCTGAAGAGGCTAAATATGAGAAAGATGAGAGGGCTACACGTTTGAGAATAGTTGAACATATATAGGTAGGATCAAAAAACTAGGTTTTTGGCCGGCGCCGTGGCTCACTAGGCTAATCCTCCACCTAGCGGCGCCAGCACACTGGGTTCTAGTCCCGGTCGGGGCGCCGGATTCTGTCCCGGTTGCCCCTCTTCCAGGCCAGCTCTCTGCTGTGGCCAGGGAGTGCAGTGGAGGATGGCCCAGGTGCTTGGGCCCTGCACCCCATGGGAGACCAGGAAAAGCACCTGGCTCCTGGCTCCTGCCATCGGATCAGCGCGGTGCGCCGGCCGCAGCGCGCCGGCCGTGGCGGCCATTGGAGGGTGAACCAACGGCAAAGGAAGACCTTTCTCTCTGTCTCTCTCTCTCACTGTCCACTCTGCCTGTCAAAAAATAAAAATTAAAAAGAAAAGAAAAAAACTAGGTTTTTTTTTTTTTTTTTTGTAAAAAAAACCCTATGGATACACTAATCCAGGTAATTATGTTGCCCACATTGGCTGTATTAAGAGTTATCCAAAGGCTTCTTACTAAGCTTTCTGGGTCTGTTTATAGATTCAAAAGGGATGTGAAATGTAGAAGAGCACCTATAACAGACACCAGAAACAGTAAATACAGTGCCAGGTGATTTATCTTCAGATTATCTTCCCCTAGTCAAAAACTGCAGTTTTAGTGCAGTGCATAGAAGTTATTTATGAAAATTATGTAGGTAACAAGTAGAAAGCTAGGGTTTGGATCCAGGCAGTCTGATTCCAGTGCTGGCTTCCTTAACCCCTACCTTACAAATGACAAGGCACTTGTAAATATGTAAATATCTGGAGTTTAACTACTATTCAATGATAACTTACAGAACACTACTCTAAAAATTATTGCTCAGTTCTGTGTGTGTATAGAAGTGACAGAACATTCCTTAGAGTGATAAGCCACCTGTGACTATCTAAAGGAAAACTATGAATATATGCAAATAATATGTGGATGTGGAAGTGCTCTGGATCTCCAAGTTCCAAATGTGTATTGATGATCAACTATCTTAGTAGTCTGGTGACAACAACCTAGCTTAGATCTCCCATCTCTCTCTACTGCAGGCACACTATGCTGTACAATGTATTACCAACTAATATTGCCTCCATGCTGTTTCCTCAACTCAGGGGCCTTCCCTACTTAGTGACAACTTACTCTTCAAGGCACAGCTCAAATATTCTGTGAGTTGATGAACTAAGAAAGGAAAGAAAGAAAGAAAAATAAAGGCCCAGGAGGGCCCTACGGTTTCTAGTTGTTAATAGCAGAGGTATGAGCAGTAACAATAAAGACAGAAGAGGAGAGTGATGATCAGAGATAGGAAAAAAGAAAAAAGAATGTGGTAGTATCTGAAAACAAAAGAAAAACGGTCATATATTTTCTGTGTAAAGCAGCATGAAAAAAGCAGAGCCAAGTGAACCAGGAAACCCAGAGATTTCATTCGAGTTCCCTTGTGTGAGGCCTTAGATTAGCCACATGGCCTTTCCCTGGCTTGAGGGAGTCTGACTTTTTATTTTCTAAAGTGACAGGGAGGGGCCAGTGGCATAGCGGGTAAAGCCACCACCTGTAGCGCCAGCATCCCACATGGGCACTGGTTTGAGTCCCAGCTGCTATACTTCTGATCCAGCTCTCTGCTGTGGCCTGGAAAGCAGTAGAAGATGGCCCAAGTCCTTGGGCCTCTGCACTCGCGTGGAAGACTTGGAAGCAGCTCCTGGCTCCTGGTTTCAGATTGGCTCAGCTCCAGCCATTGCAGCCATTTAGGGAGTAAACCAGCGGATGGAAGACTTTTTCTCTCTCTCTGCTTGGCCTCTAATTCTTTCAAGTAAATCAATAAATCATGGCTGGCACCGCGGCTCACTAGGCTAATCCTCCACCTTGCTGCGCCGGCACACCGGGTTCTAGTCCCGGTCGGGGCGCCGGATTCTGTCCCGGTTGCCCCTCTTCCAGGCCAGCTCTCTGCTGTGGCCAGGGAGTGCAGTGGAGGATGGCCCAGGTGCTTGGGCCCTGCACCCCATGGGAGACCAGGAAAAGCACCTGGCTCCTGGCTCCTGCCATCGGATCAGCGTGGTGAGCCGACCGCAGCGCGCCGGCCGTGGCGGCCATTGGAGGGTGAACCAACGGCAAAGGAAGACCTTTCTCTCTGTCTCTCTCTCTCTCACTGTCCACTCTGCCTGTCAAAAAATAAAAATAAATAAATAAATAAATCTTAAAAAAAAAAAACTGGCAATTAAGTGGGAGAAAAGCATACAGAGCACCTGATTTCTACAGAACTCTACTATTTTATCTAGAATGATTTTAAAATAAAGGTTTATTTACTTACTTATTTGAAAGGCAGGTGACAGGGAAGAAGAGAGCAAGAGTAAGCGAGCCAGAGAGATCTTCCATCTGCTGGTTCTCTCTCCAGCTGGCCACAATAGCTAGGCATGAGCCTGGAACTCCATCCATTCTCCTGCATGAGTGACAGAGGCCCAAGAACTTTCCCAGAAACATTAGCAGAAAGCTGGGTTGGAAATGGAGCAGCTGGGACTTGAACTGATACTCATATGGGATGTTGGCATTGCAAGCAGCGGCTTAACCTACTGCACCAAAACGCCAGTTCCTCTAAAATCCTTCCCATTAAATTTAGTTCACAATCCAGTAATTATCAGTCACAGCGTTGGACATAAACATTCTTAGCACACAAGGTAAACCAAAGTCTGACTTCTGATGTATCACCTTTCTAATTCCCACAGGAGATGCTGAACATAAGCCATATATATGTGGGGATGCTGATTCTGCCTCTACTGTTTTGGATGGGACCGAAGACTACCTCATTCTGGCCTGTGATGGCTTCTATGACACTGTGAATCCCGATGAGGCAGTGAAAGTTGTGTCTGACCACTTGAAAGAGAATAACGGAGACAGCAGCATGGTTGCCCACAAGTTAGTGGCATCAGCTCGTGATGCTGGGTCAAGTGATAACATCACTGTTATTGTGGTATTCCTGAGGGACATGAACAAAGCGGTAAATGTTAGTGAGGAATCAGATTGGACAGAGAACTCTTTTCAAGGAGGGCAAGAAGATGGTGGGGATGATAAGGAGAATCATGGAGAATGCAAACGCCCTTGGCCTCAGCACCAGTGCTCAGCACCAGCAGATCTAGGCTATGATGGGCGTGTGGATTCATTCACTGATAGAACCAGCCTGAGCCCAGGGTCCCAAATCAACGTGCTGGAAGATCCAGGCTACCTAGATCTCACACAGATAGAAGCAAGCAAACCTCGCAGTGCCCAGTTTTTGCCACCAGTTGAGATGTTCTGTCCTGGTGTACCAAAGGAAGCCAATGTTAATCGTGAGCTAATGATGGAGGAAAAATCAATTCATTCATCATTGCCTGAATGGAGTGGTGCTGGAGTGTTTCCCGCTTCTTTTAATTTGGGCTCAACAGGGCAGCAGATAAATAGAATGGAGAGCTTTTCTCCTATCTGTTCTGGGTTTGAAAGTGAACAATTCAAATCCCCAGGAAAAAGATTTTCTAGATTGTATCGTTCACACCACCACTACCCAAAGAGGCAGCATGGATTCAGGTTTATCACAAAGTTTTATTCATTTCTCTCTGCTCGAGAGCCTTCCCATAAAATAGGCTCTAGCTTGTCCTCACTCATTCGAAGTGGGAAGAAAAATAGAGTGTTAAGAAGTTCTCTGCCATGGAGGCAAAACAGTTGGAAAAGGCACAGTGAAGACATGATGAGGAAGGTTGAAAAGAATAACGATATTCCATACCCCGATCTTTCCTGGAGCCATAAAATGTAATTTTTCTTTAAAGTAGGCTAGCTAGTGCTCCCCCACCACTAGAAACACCACTATCAGAATAGAAACAAAATAGGCATTTCTAAAACATACATGCTTCATTATGAATTGATGGATGGCTCAATTCTTAAGTGTAAATAGATCTCTAAGACACTAAAAGGTACAGTATTTTCAATCTAGCAAAAAGTATTGGCAGTTTCACTTAGCAAAATGATACAACTGGTCTCTGTGTTGTGCCTCCACACCTACATGCAGCCCCTCCCACCACCTCTTCACGTCACTAGTGGAAGCTTGGGAGTTAGTTGTTTCAGTCAAGATATATAATGTTGAAATCTCAATGCAGGTGAATCTGATCTGATGTGCCTAATATTTTATCTGTGGAAAACTTAATGCAGAATTATATTTAGTTGGGAAATGTTCCTTAAAATCCTGGGGACCATCTAGAAAACATTTGCCCACTTTAAGTAGGTGAAAGACTAAAAGCCATATGAGTTTTACTGGTAATGAAGTAGAAAACCGGTGTAAACATGTCACATGCTCAGACTCACAAGGCCGCATATAGTCAAAAAAAATTTTTTTCCCGTAACTTAAAAAGATTTAACTATGAACATTTTTTGAATTGAAAAATATTTCCTAGGGCTGTAGTTATGTGGGAGTTTCATAATGAGTTATGGTGCTTTTGGTGGAATTTTTATTATTTATCATTTTAGGAGACTGCTATCAGCTGGTTTCCATCTATAGTATTATATTTTTCACTGTACCTTCATCTCAGGAATAAGAGTGGTTTAATGGAGATGATGTCAGGTACAAATATACTAGAATCAAACTGTCATTTAAAAAGAAACCCAAATAGCATTTCCCAATTTTTTGCCTTTTAGAAAAAAAAAGAAGTTCCCAGGCAGCAAAGAGATGCACTACGATAGAATAGAAAGTGCTTTTGGACAATGAAAAATTCTATATGTAACTTTTCTAAAGTTATTTCCCCTAAAGGAATGAAGTAATCAGTATGAGGAAGGCTGAAAGTCCTGCCCTACAGTGAGCCCAGAGGCCAAGTGCAAGGGAGAACATGGATGAGGGAGCCAGGTCTGGGAAGCTGTAACTGCAGCGTGCACCAGGTCTCCTGCCACTGCAGCTTCAGACGCACAGGGATGTGTGCTCATTTCAACACTGAGTTACTTTTCATATTCTTTAATCATCCACTTTTTGCCATTTCTACAGTTTCAGTCCAAACGCTTACCTTTAACTGTAAAGGCAACAAAAACAAAACAATACAAAAAAACCCCTAATTATTAGATTCATTCCGTGAAGCAGCCTTTGATTCTCCATGCAACCCTCTCCTAGTCACAAGGACCAGCCATGGCAACAGACAGGAGGAGCCCTGCTGTAGCAATCAGTTTTTATTGTTAGAATGCACTAAATGTTCTTGCTGAGAAATGTCCACTGCCTAATCATGTTTTTGCACAACATAAGTACTTTATACTCCATTCCCTAGACCCATAACGGAAGACTAAAATTCCTAAATTTTAAAGACAAAGATAATGGTAGAATGTCAGGTGCCAGTATAGCTATGTAAAATAAATTTTTAAAAATAGCCTCACTTTAGCAGTGATCTGATTATTATTCTACAGATTTTATTTCTTAAAATTTGGGTGAAAGTAGAGATTTTCAGTATTCTTGATTTTGAAGTCATATCTTCTTTTCTCAAGTCTTGTGACACAGGGTTGAAAAGGAGTAAACATGGCTCCAACTGCAATACTAGGATCTTTTCACCATTCTGATGCTTTGCCCCCATGCATGGACCTCACTCTTCTGTCATTTTCTGAAGCCTAGATCGTGTTAATAACCCAACAGGTGCAGTGCCAGTTTCAAATCAAGTTATCTAAGAAAACAAGAAAACAAGAGGCAGCGAAATATTGGTATACATTCTAGTCTAGAAAGCCTAGCTAAGTAAAAATATTTTTAAAATTTTCTCTAGTTATCTATTGGCAATGTTTTTGATCAGAATAAAGCAGGTGATAGGCTTTTCACTGGGGAAATACTGGATGGATGAAACTGAGACAAACAGACCCATCTTTAAGGGTCTGGATTTGTAGGTCTGACTACATACATAGCAGCATTAACTCCATTTCTCATATCATTAGCTCTCTAGAAAATAAAGCAAAGTAGTCCTGGTGTCGTCAAGTTATAAACCAATATTGTAAAAATAATAACCATTCATCTGTTCACAACACACATATTTATAGAGTAGTTAGGTACCGTTTGTAAGGTAAGTCCTTTAAAATTCTACAATACATACTAAAGTAGTGGTTACGGGTCTGATATATACTGCTCCTGGTTCTATAACCTAGATATAAAAGCAGTGCTTCGTGAAATGCAGTGTTATATCTTAATGCCACTGGTGATAGAAAGTAGTTTAGTTCCCTTCCATTCAAATCCTGTGCCCTTATTTGCTGCTTGCTGACGTAAGCAATAAGTACCCTCTACCTAATGGTATCTACGCATTTCCGTAACTTGTATTTAACGATGGTGTATCTGGTGATTGTAAAAAATATTAGACAGATATAAAGCATATAGTATATATTAACTGTTAATGCTGAGGTATAGTCTGTGAATTAATGTGTTTTGTACTTTTTTCATTGTGTAATTTAGTGATGGTGAAAGTTCTACACTCAAACTGTAAAGAGTGGCAGTACCCCTTTTTCAATTTAACATGATCTGCATCAATCTGTTTGCCTGCTAAACAAGTCTTGTTAGATTAGGAATAGAAAAACAAACACCAACAAGAAAGTGTAGTACTGGTTAGGGAAACAGGCTTCTCAAGTCACCAAGTGAAGTTCCTACAAACTCCCTGTACATCCACTGCGAGTTTCAAGAGAGGCAAGTCCCTAATCTAAAGGTTTCCTTTGTTCACTTTCTAGATGTGTACTTCTAAGGGATATCTGACAGTAGGCCACATTACAGCACCGGACACTGGGGCTATTATTCCTACTTAGGTCTGTACTAAAGAGGATGGGTAGAAACATATGTATGTATATACTTTTTCTTTACCTAGAAGTGCCATCCACTGTCCTTGAATTAATACTATTAAAATTGCTGTTGTATCTAACTAGGAGGCTCCTTGAAAGTAACACCTTTTTCATGGACAGTATATCAACAATGCCAATGTCAACACTGAGTCTAATTCTGACCACATTTATAGTGGTATCATATCAACATGCATTTTCATGACAACCATACTCCATGATTGGAACAATGTGCCAGTAAGAAGTGCGACATCCAATGAGTAGACTGAAAACGATGCATAAGTAGTTCAGTGTTTACAGATAAAAATGCTGTGGTTCAAGTACTTCCTTCCCCACTACAAGCTTACTGAGCCTTTGTGAGAAAACGATTAATTTTTAAGCCGAGTTTGTTCACTCAGAGAGTATTTTCAACTATACAGGGCCATAAAGAGGGATACTGTAGTTGTGTTTACATCTGAATTTGGGACAGTTTTTCTTTGGATCATAAATTAGTGAAAGAAAGAACTTTTTTTTTCACCTTTGAAAATGAAGTTTTCAGAGACAAAAGACAAATATTTGCTTTTTTGTTCTGACCTGTGATTAGCTTAAGTTTCTTTTTCAAACAAAATATGATACTGCCAGTATTAGACTAATTTTCCATATAAATGGGACTGTGTTGAAAAATAACTGCTACTTCCTCTACCAGCATTTTTATCTTCTAATTTGAAGACAATTTATTGTGCTAATTACAAAATATGAAATAAGATAAACTCCAGACTGACACAGCAGTTGTATATGAGAAGGAAATCCTCTAATAAACTGATGTGTTAGGTCACCCACAGATACGTCATTGTGAACCCTAACTCTAGGTGCTCTTTGGTGAGACAGGCTGTGTTCTCTTGTTCATGACATTTCTCTGCAAAGAATTCTCTCTGGAGTGAAGCGAATGAAGTGAATCATTTCTTTCTTACCAAGTAAATTTATCAATTTACAGACCTGCTCTACAGCTCACTTTTGAGTTCAGCTGTAATCATGAGTGATCCTTCATATTTTATTTATTAAAATTGTTCATTCAGGTAAGGAGTATATTGAAATTTTGCCAATATCTTAATAAAACCCAGCAATTTAAAACTACTAGTCATCCGTCTTTTTATTTAAAGGAAAGAAGTTGGGCAGATTCTCTAGGAACTGAAAAAAACAATACAGTTCCGAGATGGTAGTCTTGATATGCTATAGGTGGGAATATTTTAAAAAGAAAAGTTGCTAAGTACTGCCCTATTGTTATTTTCCACCAGGAAACCCAGAAGAGATAGTGAGTCTCACCCAAGTTTCTCCCCATTAGCAAACCTGGGGGAAAGGGGGAATTGCGGAGACCAGAGAAAAAGGACCTGCCAAGAACTAAGTGGTAACTCCTCAATTCTAGCCACTCAAGTCTTTCCCTTTCACTTAGCCTTTGCCCTTTTAATTTCAAATGAGAAGAAAGGAGGGAACAGTAAGCACAATAAGGTAAGTTGTGGGTGAAAGTCTGGAGGATTGCTATTAAAGAGACTAAAAGAAGACAGAGACAGGAGAATGTAGGGGACAGAGTGAAGCCAGTTGAACAAGACAGCTGTTATCTACAGGGACAGAATGGAACCTGAAAAGCAAGTAAACCAAGCTCATGCACAGCGTTCTTATTCTCCTTTTCCTCACCATTAAAACCTTGAACAATAATTTCACATAGTTAAAACAAGCTTAAACTCCTGGTTCTCTAAATTCATCCAGTCTTTAGCATGACAGCAAAGGAAAAAAAAAGTTTTGAAAGGGATGATATATTTAAAGGGGTCTGCTAAAGCAAATGAGAGGAATGGAATATCCTGATTATTGTATTATTCACACTTTTAAAAAATCTTAAATATTTACTTAGTTGAAAAACCTCTCATTTTGAAGCAAGACAGAAGTGAACCTCTATATACAGTAAAATCATTTGAACTTAATATTTACCCAAATTACCAAATTATCAGACTGTCAGGAGAGGTAAGGTTTAATCATTTCCTTTTTTGATAGCAGAGTTGCTATTTGTCACCTTAACAGCAGTCAGCAAAGAATGTTCTTCTACTGTGCTTTAGGAACAGGCCGTGGCTCCACCTATCAATAACCTGGAGGTCAGGTTCTTTGCTGAGACTGTCAGTACTGGTCAGTAACAAAGCGCTCACTCTTGAGCAGCCAGGCTTCGCTCGGCTCTGATGCTAACTGCAGCATTTCTCTCCAGCCAGGGACTCTTCCAGATGAGATCTCCACCACCCCATCCCCACCCGGCCCCAGGTTCTGATTTTGCTGAGGCTGCTTTAGGACCGGGGAAACATGTAAAAAACTGTCAGGAATGAATGTGACACATTTGGAGAAACCATTTTCTAAATGAATAACTGTAGTTAAACCAAAGTGAAGCAGTTGAGCCCGGCATTAATGGTGAGGTGGCTGGGGTTGGGGGATGATGAGGACATGCAGTTAAACCAGATGATCACCAGGTTGCATGATACTGAATGGGAAGTAAACGAACTGAACATCTTGCCCCAGATGTACACAGCACATACAGATCACATGCCCTGCAGGACTCTGGGCAGAGCTCTGGAGATCAGGAATAGAAAGTGTGCCAGCCGAGAAAGGAGTGTAGAAAGAGAGCAGCCCAGGGGCTGGTGCTATGGCATAGCGGGTGAAGCTGCTGCGTCCAGTGTTGGCACCGGTTCGAGTCACGACTGCTCCCCCGTTTTTTGTTTTTTTGTTTTTTTTTTTTTTTAAGATTTATTTATTTGAAAGGTAGAGTTACAGAGAGAGAGAAGGAGAGGCAAAAAGAGTCTTCCATCCGTTGGTTCACTCCCCAACTGGCTGCAATGGCTGGAGCTCGGCCAATCTGAAGCCTGAAATCAGGAGCCTCTCCAAGTCTGTCACGCAAGGTGCAGGCACCCAAGCACGTGGGATCTTCCACAGCTTTCTCAGGCCTCAGCAGAGATCTGGATCAGAAGTGGAACAGCCAGGACACGAACTGGCACCCATATGGGATGCCGGCACTGCAGGCAGTGGCTTTACCCACTATGCCACAGCACTGGCCCCCTGCTCCACTTCTGATCCAGCTCCCTGCTATGGCCTGGGAAAGCAGTGGAAGATGGCCCAAGTGCTTGGGTCCCTGCACCCACATGGGAAACCCAGAAGATGCTCCTGGCTTCAGATCAGCCTAGCTCTGGCCATTGAGGCCATTTAGGGAGTGAACCAGAGAATGGAAGACCTCTTTCTCTCTCTGCCTATGCCTTTCAACAAAATAAATCTTTAAAAAAGAGAACAGTCGATTCAATTTATGGATCAAAGTACAGAGTGGCTGATGGGACCATTTGCTGTAAAGTCCCCTTAGGCAGAATTTTAAGACTTCTGTAAGCCTAGACTAGGAAACTATGCATTGGCTGATGTGGGAATGGGTAATCTAAATATATCACCATGTGAAGAATAAAATGAATAGGCCAAAGTGAAGATGTTTTCACTTTTCAAATTTTCTATACTATTACCAACTTTAAAACTTCAAAAACAAAAACTAGATATAGAAAATAGCTCAGTTTCTGAACTGTGGTTTTAAAATTAATTATACTCATGTTTTTAATTCAACAATATATACTATATTTAAAAAACCAAATACAACCACACACTATTTCCAGCTTCCATGCTAAGATACAGAACTAGAAAAACACTGCTTCCACTCCTTTAAAAAAAAGAGCTGAATTAACTACAAATGGACTTTTTTTGAACCACAGAAAGTTGAGGTTGCAGAGCAACCAGCTGGCCCCAACTTGAGAGGGGGTCTGGTCCCTAGGAGAGAGGAGCACCGGCACCAGTTTACCGAGGTAGCTGGAAGCAGACATGTGGAAGCATAGTTTAGCCTAAGTGACAACTGGTGAAGGCAGTGTGGATCAGCAATACAGTGCGAAGCCCTGGGCACCTGTAGAGAAGGCGACCTGGGAGAGCCTGCACTTTTGCAGTCTTTTTCTTACTGCTGCACAACAGATGCTCACAAGGCACGACTCGGAAGAAACAACCCTAAGACATGTCACCTGTGTTGCCACTCCTGCAGAGCCTTGTGGGAGGGTTACACTCGCCAGACCCTTTCTCTCCAACCCCGCCACAGAACAAGGGTCACAAATACACACAGTGCTGCCCTGTGGCACTGGGGAAGTCAAACCCCAGGTGGCAGTATCACTGCCCCTACAACCAGCTGGGAAGACCACTCCTGCCTCCCTCAGGTGGGGATACAGTGCCTCAAACTGTAGCTTAATCCACTCCCAAGACTGCAAGCTCCAGTCAAGCTTTCTAGGAGGTCAAGAGAGCAACAAGAGCACACACAGAGAAGGTACCTTCTCTGATGCACAACACAAAGCCAACCGAAACTCAGGGTCAGCTGACACCTGCTCTGGCATTGTACTCCCAGTCAGAAACATGATGGGGCACTACAGGAACCTGAAACTACTAAGCTTAATTCTAACAACTGCAAGCCTTAAACCAAGCACAACTCTTAACTACATTAATTCAATTTTTACAATAGGATCTAGGCAGCAGAGCTGTCTACTTTCAGACATAAAAATTACCAAAGAGATTATCTATTGTTCTTAAGATGGGTCACTTTTAATGAAGAGAGGCACAGAAGACAGAGTAATAAGATTACAAAGTAATATCCCTCATGAATATGTGAAAATTCTCAGCAAAATATTAGCACAACAAATACCACTACACAATTACTAGGATGGCTATAATAAAAACCACTGACAGAGCATTTGGCCTATGACACCTGCAGGGTGGGCGCTGTGGTGTAGCAGGTAAAGCCGCCACCTGCAGGGCCAGCATCCCATATGGGCACTGGTTCAAATCCCAGCTGCCCCACTTCCAATCCAGCTCTCTGCTATGGCCTGGGAAAGCAGTGGAAGATGGCCCAAGTCCTTGGGCCCCTCTACCCACATGGAAGACCTGGAAGAAGCTCCTAGATCCTGGCTTTAAATCTTTAAAAAAAAATAAAAAGATAGCTGCATCCCCTCTCAGAGCACCTAGGTTTGAGTCTTGGCTCCACTTCTGGCTCCAACTTTGTTACTGTGGACCGCCATGGAAACAGCAGGTGATGGCTAAAGTTCTTGGGTTCCTGATACCCATGTGGGAAACCTAGACTGAGTTCCAGCTCTCAGCTTTGACCTGGCCAAGTTTCAAATGTTGAAGGTATTTAGAGAGTGAACTAGTAGATGGGAGTTGTGGTGGTTTTTTTTGTTTGTTTGTTTGTTTGTTTGTTTGTTTTTTTAAGATTTATTTATTTGAAAGGCAGAGTGACAGAGAGAGAGAGAGGTCTTCCCATCTACTGGTTCACTCCCCAAATGGCTGCAATGGCCAAAGCTGGGCCGATCCAAAGGCAGGAACTAGGAGCTTCTTCCGGATCTCCCATGCGGGTGCAGGGGCCCAAGGACTTGGGCCATCTTCTACTGAACTAGAACTCTGGTATGCTGCTGGTGGGAAATGCAAAATGGCAGCGCCACTTGGTCAAGTTTGGTCGTACCTTATAAAGTTAAGCATATTGTTACCACAGGATTCAGCGCAATAAGTTCTGACACCAACTCTCTGGAGTTAGGCGACAGTTGTCAGATTTAGGGCAAAGTCTTCCACAAGAACACCATCGCCTCAGACACCAGCTGTAAGTTCACAGGTTCCCATACCACCCTCAGTTTTGAGCAGCTGGCTACAAATTTGTGGGACTTCCACCATCCACTCAGATTTGAAAATTCACCAAAACAACTCACAGACCCCAGGAAAGCACTTTAGTTAGGATTACATTTTTATGATAAAAGGATAGAAATACAAACCAGCCAGATAGTGAGATGGTGTGAGGTCTGAGAGGAGGACAAGTGACCTCCTGGTACTGATTTAGAATCATATAGAGTTCTGCTGACCAGGCACTGAGCGCCAGTGACCAGTTTTATTGGGAGTGCATCATATGGCCATGACTGCATCATCCGCAACGAGGCTGAACACAACTGGACTGACAGCTCTGCACCCCCAGCCAGTGCCAGCTTATTAGCATAAACTAGCAGCCCTGTCACCGGGGAAATTCCAAGGACTCTGGGGGCTGCTTCCTAGCAACAGGGGACAGAGGCCAGCGGCTGCTTTGTTACACACCCAGCCATCCCACCCACAGACCCTAGAGAATCAAAGTTTATGCTCACACTTAAATCTGAACACAGATGTTTATAAGGCTCATAAACAGGAAACAATCCAAATAGCCTTTAATGGGTAAATGAATCAACTGTGACATATCCATACAATGGAATACTACTCAGCAGAAAGAAAAAAAAAAGTATGAATCTACATAAAATGGATGAAATTTAACTAAATTTTATTAGACAAAGGACTCAGGAACAGGGAAAAATAAAGAACAAATCAGCCAGGACTTGGAGAAGAGGGAAGCACAAGGGAATACTGGGGGTGACTGAAATGTTCTGTGTAGTGTGGTGGTAGCAGATACATGACATCTGTCAAAACCCACAGAACTACGTATCAGAAAAATTGCATTTTAATGTATGTAAATTAAAAACACAGGATGTGTGGGGGAGGACAGAACGCAGACTAAACCAGATGAAACCTAGCTGTATTATAAATGAATCATGTAATCACAATGAAAAAGATAGGAGGCCGGCGCCGCGGCTCAATAGGCTAATCCTCCGCCTAGCGGCGCTGGCACACCAGGTTCTAGTCCCGGTCGGGGCGCCGGATTCTGTCCTGGTTGCCCCTCTTTCAGGCCAGCTCTCTGCTGTGGCCCGGGAAGGCAGTGGAGGATGGCCCAAGTGCTTGGGCCCTGCATCCCATGGGAGACCAGGAGAAGCACCTGGCTCCTGCCTTCGGATCAGCGCGGTGCGCCGGCCACAGTGCGCCGGCCGCGGCGGCCATTGGAGGGTGAACCAATGGCAAAGGAAGACCTTTCTCTCTGTCTCTCTCTCACTGTCCACTCTGCCTGTCAAAAAAAAAAAAAAAAAAAAGGAAAGAAGGGAACTAATGTAATTTTGAATATAAGGACCTAAATCACTTCAGGATAGGGTTTTGACATGAGAACAAAAAAGACAAAGAGCACTATATTCTAGGTGGTAAATTTCTCATGGGCATAGGTCAACAGTTCTAAAATACTTGGTTTTTACATTCAAGTTGAACAAGTGAAATATTACAGCTAATGTATTAGAGCCAGGTTTCTCCTGTTAGAAGAAGCATTAGAGACAAGAAAGGGGGTTAAAATGAGCCTATGGGGTTAGCTGGTTTGGAGGTACAGCTAACAATATAGATTCATCATTTTTTCTTAAAAAAGATTTACAAACATAAACAAATACATAGAAATGCATGTATTAACACGAATAATACGTTTCCATGGTTCTTCAAGAAGGGGTTGATTCTATTAGGGCTTAGGTAGGGAAAAATACAAGGTAAGCTTGGAGCATGTTTTGCTGTGAGAAAGTAATATGTAAACAAACCAACCATTAAGGATGGGATTTATCAAAAGGACAATGGAATGAACTTACAATTTCTAATGATTACAACAACCTCAAATCACAACTTTAGAACACAACTCAAAGCGTAAAATAAATGTTAACCTATACTGACACAATTAAATTGGGAAATAAATGTGAAGATGGAACAACTTTTCTTTATATAACAATAAAAAAACTATATGAGAAATTAGGGAACTGGAAACTATCATTAGAACATTGCAGTGGGTTCATTTGCCAAGTGAGATAATCACTTCCCTATCAGAGCAGCAGCGTCTGGTTCAGCATTCCTGCTGATGCACCCTGACAGGCAGCTGAGTATGGCTCCAGCACTTGGGCCTCTGCCACACACATGGGAGATCCAGCTAGAGTTTGGAGCTCCTGGCTTTGGCCTAGCCCTGCTCTAGCTATTGTGGGCATTTGAGGAATGAACCAATGGATGGAAGGTATCTTTGTCTCATTATGTTGCTCTGCCTTTCAAGTAGATGAAAATAAATATGAAAAAGAGAGGGCCGGCGCTGTGGCGCAGTAGGTTAACGCCCTGGCCTGAAGTGCCAGCATCACATATGGGCGCCAGTTCTAGTCTCGGCTGCTCCATTTCCGATCCAGCTCTCTGCTATGGCCTGGCAAAGCAGTGGAGGATGACCCAAGTCCTTGGGCCCCTGCACCTACATGGGAGACCCGGAAGAAGCTCCTGGCTCCTGATTGGTGCAGCTCCAGTCGTTGCAGCCAATTGGGGAGTGAATCATCGGATGGATGACCTCTCTCTCTGCCTCTCCTCTCTCAGTGTAACTCTGAATTTCAAATAAATACATAAATCTTTAAAAAAAGAAAAAGAGAACACTTCAGTAGCAATCACTAAAGGTAGGTGCTAAAATCAGTAGGCAAGAGGTTAGCTGAAATGGTAGTTCTGTGCAATCTCTGCAATCAAGGCTGACAGTGCCAGCAACAAACACCAACATCACGTCCCCTGATGTGATGCACTGACGAGCACACCATCTCTCTGGTAGCCTTCCAGATAAAGTATAACCTCAATTTAATGTACAAAAGCTTCGGACCTAAATGGAACATTCTATAAAGTCTTCTTAAAAAACACCAAGGTCACGAAAGCAAGAAAGACTAAGGAACTATCATAGACTGGAAGAAACATTAAAACAAAATGTAATATAGGCTCCTGGACTTGATCCTGGCACAGAAAAAGGACACTGGTGAAATAAAAGGTGAAATCTGTACAAATTCTGTAGTTCAGTTCATAGTACCATAATCAATATTTAATCATGGTTGTCTGGTTATATAAATTAACAAAAGTATAAGAGAACTTCAAAAAGCTCATGGAAATGGAATTAAAAGGTAAGTTTATTTTGGTGCAAAAAAATGATGAAATACACGCATACAAGGCTCCTTCAAAAAAGTCCTGGGGAGGGGGGATACACATGCACAGTGGTTAAGATGCTTCTTGGGGAGCCAGTGCTGTGGCACAGTAGGTTAAACCTCCGCCTGTGGCACCAGCATCCCATTTGGGCATTGGTTTGAGTCCTGGCTGCTCTATTTCCAATCCAGCTACCTGCTAGTGGCCTAGGAAAGCAATGGGATATGGTCCAAGTTCTTGGGCCCCTGCACGCACGTGGGAGACCCAGAAGAAGCTCTAGGCCTCTGGCTTTGGATTGGCCAGCTCCAGTCATTGCAGCCTTTTGGGGAGCGAACCAGCAGATATAAGACCTCTCTCTCTCTGTCTCTTCTCTCTATAAGTCTGTCTCTCAAATAAATAATCTTAAATAAATAAATAAATAAATAAAATAGTGCTTGGGACACCCAAATCCCACATAGGAGTACCTGGTTCCAGTCCCAGGTACACTTTTTTTTTTTTTAAACAGGCAGAGTGGACAGTGACAGAGAGAGAGAGAGAGAAAGGTCTTCCTTTTGCCGTTGGTTCACCCTCCAATGGCTGCCATGCCAGCGCACCGCGCTGATCTGATGGCAGGAGCCAGGTACTTATCCTGGTCTCCCATGGGATGCAGGGCCCAAGCACTTGGGCCATCCTCCACTGCACTCCCTGGCCACAGCAGAGAGCTGGCCTGGAAGAGGGGCAACCGGGACAGAATCCGGCGCCCCGACTGGGACTAGAACCCGGTGTGCCGGCGCCGCAAGGCGGAGGATTAGCCTACTGAGCTACAGCGCCAGCCTCCAGGTACATTTCTGGTCTAGCTTTCTGCTAATGCATAACAAGAGAGGCAGAAGATGATGGGACCAGTAGCTGAGTCTCTGTCATCCATTCAGGAGATTCCTAGTGTTGGCCTGTCCCAGCCTTGACTATTGCAGGCACTTGGGGAGTCAACTAGAAGATGGGAGATCTGTCTTTCAAATAAAAAAATGAAAATCAATTTAAAAAAATATTTTAGTTCTTGGAAAACATATGTTATAAAAAATTGTTCAGGATTTTCAAAAATGTTCTGCACCAAAATAAACTTGACTTTGAATTCCACTTTTCAGTCAATTTTTCTAAGCCCCCTTTTAGAATCTAGACAAAGGGTATACAAGAACTCTCAAGATTCTTACATTCTGGGGCCGGCGCCATGGCTTACTTGGTTAATCCTCCACCTGCGGTGCTGGCATCCCATATGGGCGCCAGGTTCTAGTCCCGTTGCTCCTCTTCCAGTCCAGCTCTCCACTGTGGCCTGGGAAGGCAGCAGAAGATGGCCCAAGTCCTTGGGCCCCTGCACCCACGTGGGAGACCGGGAGGAAGCACCTGGCTCCTGGCTTTGGATTGGCACAGCTCCAGCCGTTGCGGCCATTTGGGGAGTGAACCAATGGACAGAAGACCTTTCTCTCTATCTCTCCCTCTCACTGTCTGTAACTCTACCTCTCAAGTAAATAAATAAAATCTTTAAAAAAAAAGATTCATACTTTCTTCCGCACATTTAAAATTATCTCAAAAGTTAAAAAAATAGGACAATCATTAGAGTTTTAATTATTAAGGATCAGAATGTTGTGCTGGGTTCAAGTGAGATAAACTGAAAAAAGCATTAGACCAAAATTTCAGCCCATTCCTGCCAGTCATGCTGAGCCTGAAGAGAATCACACTTACTTCCCTGAAGCTCAGGTTCCTCTGCTAAATGGCTACAATGCCCAACTCATCCATCACAAAGGTTACTCAAGGAATCAATGACACAGTGGCCAAAGTTGGCCAAAAACTACATACTCATGCACAAATCAAGCACTGCAACGACATTTTTAGACTCGAGAAAATATCTTAAAAATGATTTATTTATCTGAAAAGCAGAATGACAAGAGACAGAGATCTCCCATGTGCTGGTTCATTCCTTAAATGCATGCAGCTAAGACTAGGTCAGGACAAAGCCAGGAGGAGCCCAAAACTCCCTCCAGATTTCCCACGTGGGTGGCAGGGACCCAAGCACATGGGCCACCATCTGCTGCCTTCCCAAGAGCATTAGTAAGAAGCTGAATTGGAAACAGAGTGACCTGGACTCAAACCAGCTCTGATATGGGATGCCAGCAACCCAAGCAGTGGCCAAATGTTATACTACCTCACCTGCCCCGGGCCTAAGGAAAACTATAGAAAAATTTTCTAGGAATGAACTTGAGACACTAAATACTGAAACAAGATAACAATAGAAAGGCTGACAGAACTGTGCCCTTCAGCAAAAGAAGAAAGGCTAAAAAATAAAAAAGAGTAGGGAATGTAAAAGGGAACAGGAAGTGCAAGAAAGTAGGACAAGCGGTGCGGAGCGATTGATTCTGCTCCCTTGCTTCTTCCCTCCCTCACTGCTTCAAAAAATCTAGCACAGCCAAGGCTGGCAGGTTCCATCAAGGGCGAGAGAAAACCCCAGTATCCTTGGCATCACTGGGGAACAGGAGAAATCTTTTGGTCTCTGAGGCTGACTGTGATTCTAAAATGACTGAGATAGAAGCTTCTTATGAGATATGAACCCTCACCACACAACAAAACACTCAATGTTTGATCTTGTCCACACTGCTAAACAGCCACTAATACAAGAGTACAAAAAGGTTTCTGGTCCCATTTTTAATAAATTGCAGAGGCATATTTTCTCAGGTTCATTTTATTAACAAAAAAGGCAAACTATTTTGAACAAAATAAACTATGAGTCACAGCATTCAGCATGACATTAGACATGGAAAAGTGAACACTATTCATTAAGTAAAATATGAGAAGCAGAGATGTCTCACAGGTATATATAGCTAGTCATGCTCTTTCAATAGTTGCTTAGTCAACTTTCAGTATAATTTTCACAAATATATAGCAGCTTAAACACAAATGCAGGAGCACAATGATGAAGTTTGGCAACTGTTTTCAGTTAACTGAGTATGCAGGAAACTTTCTATCACAATCTCACTGTGACATAAACCACTGTGCAATATGCAGGAATCTTTAAATGCAACGACACTGAAGTCAACGGTCAACTAATGAAAACAAAGAGGGATTTAAAATATTTGTTGTTCCACACTTGTATTCTGAGAGGCAGAAAATAATGAAAACATTTTAAATGATCTTATGTGTGCCCACATGACCAGGGACATGACCAATCCATATTAAGTCATTTAAAATTATATTTGCAGAACTCACACAACAGAAATATTATGTTATTAAAGTGTGTCTGCACTTGAGCAAGCAAGAAAAGAAAAATAAATTAAAATGTTATTCTGTCAACACATTCCGAAGTGTAAATTGAGTCTAGTGTTACTTCAGTTATTCACGTAAAGTGTCTGTAGGTATCTATTCATAAGTAGTTTTTCTATTCACTAACCTATAGGTCCCAAGGAGACCATAAACTGTAACTAAAACGCACTGGAATACATTTACATACAATGGAGCATCTAGCCACAGACAGACGAGCAGTACTGCTGAGCGGGTCCCTGAGTGCGTGCCCGGCCTCTGGGTACATCTTCTGGCAGTTCATCAGCCTCTGTCATAGCAGACAACCGCTTTTTGTTAAAGCACTCATTTGCTAAATTAATTGAGGACTATACTGTTATTACATTGCAAAGAACCCCTCCCCCAGTGTTGATCTCTTCCTGGGTACTACTATCTTCTACTAGAATTGAGCTACTTCAACAGTTTCTGAATTACTTTCAGGTAAGGGTGATGAAAAAATAAGACCAGATCTGATTATCTGACTGATGACAGTTTTGAGCACAACCACAGCACATTTCAGGGTCAAACTAGCTTGCAAGTCAGTTCTCTTGACTTTGCAATTACCTTCCATTGTTTTCATCAGTATTGAAGGTGAGATTTTCAGGATCTATTTGTTCACCATCAGGAAAACTGGAATGTGTACCTACAAAAAAATTACAAGATAAAAAATTATTAAATTTAAGAGCAGATAACATAACAAGAGTATTTGCTTTCTTGGTCTTTAAATGATCTTCTCCAATGTGTTTCTTAAGTGGTACAGATATGCTGGGCTGGGAACAAATGTCTGCCTTCAGAGAATCTGTGATCTGAGTCACATGCAAGCAAACGCAAAGAGAACATAAGGAAGAAAAATCAAAATGTGTAAAAGACACCCACAGGGACAAGGTGAAAGGCACTGACTGCCTCACCCTCCTGCCTGGGAACCCTGCAGGGCAGCTGAAGAAGGGAACCAGAGATGAGGATGATGTATGCTTGCAAGAGGTAGGCTTTGTAAGCATAAATGCATCTCAAAGCCAATTAAACTGTATAAAAACTCACCAGCACTCAAAATAACTAGCCCAAAATTTGATGCTTCCTTCAGAAGCAGAGGCAATTACAAAAGGTGTGTTAACACTAACAAATCACCAAACACTTGCCTCTTTACTGAAAAATGAATGAGAATGCCAGGAATGTATGCAAATGAGAAAGCTGACAATATCTGTCATTCCAGTAATCTTGGAGAGGACTGCTCAACTTGATGATTAAGGCAACTTTCAATGAATATTTCTCTAACTTACAGTATTCCCTTTATTGTTCAATCTGCATTTTAGAAAATCACTAAAAAGGTGATGGCACATTCATGTTAGAATACCAGAGCTCCATGAAAAAATGAAGTTTATGAAATCCTAAATAAAGTATAAATGCATTTAAGTGAAAAGAGCACAATACAAAACTACAAAATGCAGTTTCATTTGGGTAAAAGGAATACAAACAAAACCAGAAGAAAACAAGATAAAATATCAATACTGGTTTTCTCTTGAGGAGTTACTTTCCTAACAACTTTTTTTGGATGGGGTGGAGAGAATAAATATTGATGATTTCATAATTTGCATGCATTTCTAAGAAAACAGAAAAGATTATTTAAAAAAAAAAAACATTATTTTATACTAAGCTAGAAAAATCTCTGAAAAGTAAGAACACCTAACATCTGAAACCTCCCCAGTCGTGGTGAATGTTTCCTCTAAAGGGCCAGACAGGAAATAGTGAGGCACTGCAGGCCACGAATGACCTCTGCTGAAAATCCTCCTGTGCGTCGTTTCAGGTGAAAGGCTACGGAAAAGCAGGCTGTAGTCACCTTCTCCACCCAGCACACAGCACTCCTGAGGTTCTAGTGAAGCCACACACTATCCGCCAGGTTTTTTTAGTACTCACCATATGGTTAACCAAAGAATGTTGTTTCACAAATGACAACAATTTAAAAAGAAGCAGAACAAGGAGAAGCAAAAGCAGCAGAGCAGAAGGAGTCTAAGTAGAAACAGCAGCAGTGGCAGAGGAAGAAGAAAAAGCAGCAGCGACAGCCTTAATTAATCTGTGTGAAATGACACCATGTGCTGCACCTTCATCTGGGGGCTGTGCCATGAAAGAGTCGTTGAATCCACCCATGCTCGCGTGCTCTTCCTGCTCTTCATTCTCAGTGTCACATTCAATGTCACTGTCGCTACTCATTCCTAGCAGGAGAGAAGGGAAGAACATGCTTCTCATAAGAAACCAGTGTAAATGAAAGCAAAGGGGAACCTTCTCATCTACTAACCTCAACATCCTGCTGAATTTGACATGAAACACCAAGATTTTAACAAATCAAACACCAAGCAAACAAAATAAGGATACAACTAATCATGCAAACCTCAGTTCTTACCACTTTTTTAAAACAGTGGTCTAATTTTTGTTCTCAAAGTTTAAATTTTCCCTCTCCGCAGTACCTGAAAGCTCTAAGTTGAAACCACATTGATTTTCTTTCCTCAAATCAATTTTTTTTCCCTGCAGTCATAACAGGAACTCCTGATTCCCAAATCATTGTAGACATAATTATCAGCTACATAATAAACATAAACATACTATATAAAAATGCACAATATAAATGCATTAAAAATTAAAGAACTCCTGGGACTTGCATTGTGGCTCAGTGGGTTAGGCCAGCACTTGTGAAGCCGTTATCCCATATGGGCACTGGTTCAAGTCCCAGCTGCTCTGCTTCCAAACCAGCTCCCTGCTAATGTACCTGGAAAAGCAGAAGAAGATGGCCTACGCGCTTGGGCCCCTGCACCCACATGGGAGACCCTGGTGGAGTTTGGGGCTCCTGGTTTTGTCCTGGCCCAGCCCAGCAGTTGTGGTTAGTTGTGGAATGAACCAGGCAAATGGAAAGTATCTCTCTAAGATTTATTTATTTGAATGTCAGAATTACAGAGTCAGAGGCAGAGACAGAGATATCTCATCCACCTGCCAGTTCACTCCTCAAATGGCCACAATGGCCAGGGGTGGAGCAGGCCAAAGCAAGGAGCCAGGAGCTTCATCCACATCTCCCACATAGGAGGCAGGGGCCCAAACACCTGGGCCATCTTCTACTGTTTTCCCCGGCACATTAGCAGGGAGCTGGATCAGAAGTGGAGCAAGCAGCTAAGACTGGAACTGGTGCCCATATGGGATGCCAGCTTTTGCAGGCAGTGTCTTTAACCAGCTATGCCAACACTGGCCTCCAGAAAACTTTACTCTGTCTCCCCCGCTCTGTCACTCTACCTTTTAAATAAATAACTTTTTAAAAATTAAAGCACTGGGGCTGGCGCTGTGGCATAGCGGGTAAAGCTACCGCCTGCAGTGCTGACATCCCATATGTGCACGGTTCAAGTCCCGGTTGCTCCACTTCTGATCCAGCTCTCCACTATATCCTGGGAAAGCAGTGGAAGATGGTCCAAGTGCTTGGGCCCCTGCACCCATGCGGGAGGCCCTGAAGAAGCTCCTGGTTCCTGGCTCATGGCTTCAGATCAGCGCAGCTCCAGCTGTTGCAGCCATCTGGTGAATGAACCAGCAGATGGAAGACCTCTCTCTCTCTGTCTCTCCTTCTCTCCGTGTGTAACTCTTTCAAATAAATAAATAAATCTTTAAAAAAAAAATTAAGGCACATCTAACAATAATTTATATCCTGTTTGGGCCTACAGTTCTGTTTTTGTAGATAGCAAATTTTTAAATTCTATAGATAATATTATTTAACACTTTTTTCAAATTTATTTTTACTTTCTCTGAAAGGCAGAGAGATGGGGGTTGGTGGGGGGCATGGGGAGAAAAAAGATAGAGAGAAACTTTCCACCTACTGCTCACTCCCCAGATACCAGCAACAGCTGGGGCAGGGTTGGTCCAGGCTACAGCCAGGAGCCCAGATCTCAATTCACGTCTACCACAGAGATGGCAGGGATCCAAGATTTTGAGCCATCACCTGCTGCTTCCTGGGATGAATATTCACAAGAAGCTGAATTTGATGCAGAAATGGTACTCAAACTAGGGACTCCAATGGGATTCAGGAATCCCAAACAGCATCTTAAAAACTGCTGAACCAGATGCTCAACCCAAGAGACACTATTTCTGTTTCAGTAACATAGTGATTAAAAACAACAACAACTAAATATCTTTCTGCTACAAATTCTTATAAATAACTAGATAAACATAAATGAATGAAACATTTAAAATACAGGATGGTGGGGCAGGCACCTGTACAGCTGTGAAGACACTGCCTGAGGTGCCTGTCTCTCATACTGTCCCACCAGATTCCTACTAATGAAAGGCAACAGGTGATGGCTCAAATACTAGGGTCCCTGCCATCCATGTGAGAGACCTGGATTGGGTTCCAGGTTCCAGGTGTTACGGGCATTTGAGAAGTAAACCAGCAGATGGAAGACCTCTATCTCTCAAAAAACAAAACAAAACATTCCTTAATTAAAAAACCAAAACAGGACAGAAATCCAGAGATATCAGAAATAAAGGACAAGGAACACTAATGGGACAGATGCTACAGCTGTCCTGGAGGTGAAGAATTTTAATACTTCTTTGAGGACAGGGAAAGGAAAGAAAGCTTTAGACCCACCATAGAAAGAGTTAAAACTGAGACTAAAATTCCATCTTTTGTGTGAAGATAAAGTCTTATTGAAAGACTAGCTTAGAGAAAGTCTGGCCGCAAGCATAGGAAAATGACAAGGAATTCTGTCTGGTTCTGCCAAGCTCTACAGAGGGGGGAAAAAAGTATCACTTCAAAATTCAAACTCAATTTTTAATGCCTCAGGGCCGGCGCTGTTGCATAGTGGGTAAAGCCACTGCTGTAGTGCCGGCATCCCATATGGGCGCCGGTTCGAGTCCTGGCTGCTCCACTTCCCATCCAGCTCTCTGTTATGGCCTTGGAGGGCAGTAGAAGATGGCCCAAGTCCTTGGGCCCCTGCACCCGCGTGGGAGACCTGGAAGAAGCTCCTGGCTCCTGATCAGAACAGCTCCAGCCATTATGGCCATCTGGGGAGTGAACCAGTGGTTGGAAGACTCTCTTTCTCTCTCTCTGCCTCTCCTCTCTCTTTGTAACTCTGATTCTCAAATGAATAAATAAATCTTTTTTTTTTTTTTTTTTTGGACAGGCAGAGTTAGACAGTGAGCGAGAGAGAGACAGAGAGAAAGGTCTTCCTTCCGTTGGTTCACCCCCAAAATGGCCGCTACAGCCGGCACGCTGCACCCATCCGAAGCCAGGAGCCAGGTGCTTCTCCTGGTCTCCCATGCAGGTGCAGGGCCCAAGGACTTGGGCCATCCTCCACTGCCCTCCTGGGCCACAGCAGAGAGCTGGACTGCAAGAGGAGCAACCGGGACAGAATCTGGCGCCCCGACCAGGACTAGAACCCGGGGTGCCAGTGCCACAGGTGGAGGATTAGCCTAGTGAGCTGTGGCACCAGCTCTAAATAAATAAATCTTTAAAAAAATTTTTTTGAATGCCTAATTTGGATGTGGGGTTTAAAGTAGAGGTTCAAATATCAATAAATTAACATAAAAATTGTTCACGACCTGGTGCTATCTGAATAAAGCAAATATAAAATCATCTATGGAGGAAAGGTTTTAGGTAAGGTGCAGTAAGCACGTACATTCTACCCTGTCTTTCCCTCTGAATCCAGCAATACAAGCTGGACAGAATGTATGGCATAGCTACTTAGAGATTTTGAAAAGTAAGAACAGACATGTAGTTGAAGCCAGTATTTTCAGTAGCACCAAATCAGCAGATTAAAACAACATCTGGAGTCTCATAAAACTATACTCAAAAATATATAACATATGATCCAAAATTACCCAGCATATAAAGAACAAGAAGAATCAACAAACATCAAAGCTGAGATAACAGGGATGTTGGTTTTATCTAATACCGGTTTCTAAGCTGATATAAAAGGGCTCATGGGAGTTGAGTGTGGTGGTAACTTAAGCCACTGCTTGCATCCCATACCAGAGTGCCAGTTTGAGTCCCCACTGCTCTGCTTCCAATCCAGCTCCCTGCTAATACACCTTAGATGCAGCAAATGTTAGTCCAAGTACTTGAGTACCTGCCATCCCTGTGGCAGATCCAGATGGTATTCTGTCTCCTGGCATTAGCCTGGCCCAGCCCCAGCTGCTGCAGTCATTTGAGGAGTTAACCAGCAGATGGAAGATCTTGCTGCCAGTCTGCCTTATCAATCAATCAATTAATTAATCTTAAAAAATGCTAACACAGACAATATACCCCTAATACACATAAACTTCTGTGAAGTGAAGCACCCATGACATATCCTAGGAATTCTCACAGAGGGTAAAAAAAAAAGTCTCAAAGGTGTGTTCCAAAATAAACAAGGCAAACAATCCACCTAAATCAAGAATTAGCAGATACACAAAAAGAAGGAAAGTACTATGGATTGTTCAAGAAATGAAACAACTTGTAAGAAACTACACAATTCTACTTAACTTGGAAAAGGTAAACTGTTAAAAAAAATATATTTTCTAGAAATGAAAGACAAGCCTTATATTTTAAAGCATTATATAATCAGAGTATACAAAAAAAATTAAACATTTTTTAAGATGCGTTTTTATTTGAAAGGTAAAGAGACAGAGACAGACACAGAAAGAGATCTTCTGTCCAGTGGCTCACTCCCCAGAAGCCCACAACAGCCAGAACTGGGCCAGGCTGAAGTTGGGGGGCAAGACTTCAATATAGGTCTCTCATATGGGTGGCAGATACCTAGTTACCCGGTCCACCAAGGTGTGCACAGTAGGAAGCTGCCTTCCAAGGTGTGCACAGTAGGAAGCTGAAATCTGACATGGAGCTAGGACTGACTCCCAGTCACTCAGATACGTGAGGCAGGTGTCCCAACAGGCTAAGAACACTTCACAAAGATGAAAATGTTAATAGGTGGCTAAGACAACTTTTTTTTTTTTTAAAGAAGGATTAATAAACTTGGAGAGCTAAAGGATTTGAACAAGAAAGCAAAAAAAAATTAGATGGAAGTTATTAAAAAAAATTAAGAAGCAAGGGAACTGGGCCAGCGCTGTGGCATAGTAGGTTAAGCCTCCGCCTGCGGCACTGGCATCCCATATGGGTGCTAGTTCAAGTCCTGGCTGCTCCACTTTCAATCTAGCTCCCTGTTGAGGGCCTGGGAAAGCAGTAGAAGATGGCCCAGGTAGTTGG